AATTGATCACACTGTTTGTTCCAGACAAGGGGAGATGAAAGAATAAAGTCCAGATTTAATATGAGGTGTGCCTTTTTCTACCAGCAGGCACTGGGTAGACCAACCAGAGCTGATTTCCCGCTGCCAGAGCCTAAAGTAAAAGTTCTCTGTTGCTAGAGCAAGTTGCTAGGGAGTGAGATGCTGCTGGTTGTGGTGGGTGAACTGGCCTCTCTCCCTATGGCTTGTCACCACTGCCTCTTGTCTGAGCAGGAGAGGAGAGAATGTCCCAAAGGCCTGTAGGGAATTTTTAGGTTAAAACTCAAATAGTCCTCACAAACTGTCAATATTTATAGTGTGAACGTTCTGTTGCCATGGTTACTTCTAACCACTTTCTTATCGATGAGTCTTATCAGTGACAACAGATGATGACATCCTGGCATCACTTCATATTTGTATCAAAGCAATTTTTTTCTCTTTGTCACAAACGAATGGATTAAAACAACTTCACTTAAGTCATAAACAAGTGGATTTGAAATCATATTAAATCTGTGTACAACTGTGTGTACCTTTTTTCTTTTGTTAGGAAGGGGTTAGCATAGCATATAGCAAGTGATTCCCAGTGGTATTCTTTTTTTTAAAATATATTTTATCGGCTGAAGCTGGTTTGGCTCAGTGGTAGAGCATCGGTCTGCGGACTGAAGGGTCCCAGGTTTGATTCCGGTCAGGGGCATGTACGTTGGTTGCGGGCACGTCCCCGGTGGGGGGTGTGCAGGAGGCGGCTGCTCGATGTTTCTCTCTCATTGATGTTTCTGGCTCTCTATCGCTCTTCCTTCCTCTCTGTAAAAAATCAATAAAATATATATATATATATTTAAAAATATATATTTTATTGATTTTTTTTTTTCAGAGAGGAAGGGAGAGAACTAGAGAGCTAGAAACATCAACCAGCTGCCTCCTGCACACCCCCACTGGGGATGTGCCCACAACCAAGGTATATGCCCTTGACTGGAATCGAACCTGGGACCTTTCAGTCCTCAGGCTGATGCTCTATTCACTGAACCAAACCGGTTTTGGCCCCAGTGGTATTCTTGAGTAGGTGAATTATAGCTATTTTTTCCCTCACCTGTATTTTAAATTTTCTTTGATAACCAACAGACATTACTTTATTAATAAAACAAGAAATTCTCTTTAGCTCTGGCTTGTGTGGCTCAATTGGTCGGAGAGGCATCCTGTGCATCTGAAGGTTGAGGGTTCAGTTCTGGTCAGGGCACTTACCTAGTTTGTGGGTTCGATCCCTGGTAGGGGCGCCTACAGGAGGCAACTGATGGATGTAGTTCTCTCACATCTTTGTTTCTCTCTCCCTCTTTTCCTTCCTCCCTTTCTAAGATCAATTTAAAAAAACAAAAACTCTCTTAAAAAAAAGGTCAACAATCATAAAGGAAAGTGAGCTAGAGATAAGAACGGATTGTTCTCAGAAAAAATGAAAGTGGTTCATAAACATAGAAAAAGATAACCAACTTTGCCTGTAATGTTAGGGATGCAAATTAAAATTACACTGAGCTTAACGCGTCTTGCCTATCAGATTGGCAAAATTCCAAGTTTGAGAGTGTATTCTGTTGGAGAATCTGAGAGAAATAGGCTCTCTCACACACTGCTTGCTGATGGGGGTTGAAAATAGTGTAGAACCTGTGGAGGGGATTTGGCAACAGCTAGTAAAATCATTTGTGCACTTACCCTTTGACCCAGAAATCCATCTCTAAGAATAGACCCCATAGGTCTGCACTGGCAAAAAATACCAAATGGCACAGTGGATAGAACGTCAGCCTGTGGACTGAAGGGTCCCTGGCTTGATTCAGGTCAAGGGCACATGTCCAGGTTGCGGTTTCGATCCCCAGTAGGGGGCGTGCAGGAGGCAGCCAATCAGTGATTCTCTCATCATTGATGTTTCTATCTCACTTTCCCTCTCCCTTCTTACTATGCACCCAAAGGCTACCGGGTTAATTTTACCATGACATACCAGACTTGGATGACTAGCATCTACCTCAGCCTTGAGGGGCAGAGTCAGATGGGTCTGAGCTCAGCTTTAAGATACTGAGCAGAAACTATAGCTTCGGGCTAAGAAATTCTGCAGGTTGCAGATGCTTAACAGAACCATGACCATGTTTTAAGGGTCCATCCTAAGAGCTGACAATTAGCTAACTAGGACATGCTCTGTATTTCATCTCCTGGCCCTCACACAAAGCTGACAAGCGTTTCCACATGAACCTGCATCAGGGAGAAAAGCAATGGTGACAAAGAAAGTGGGAGGTGATTCTGCAGTGGGAAGTGTTGCCGCCACCACCCTTTTTAGTCTTTCTTGTCCATTTGTTCTTGTGGTAAATGGAAGAATGCGGTATGTCAAGAACAACAGCAAGCTGAAACCGGTTTGGCTCAGTGGATAGAGCGTCAGCCTGCGGAATGAAGGGTCCTGGGTTCGATTCCAGTCAAGGGCATGTACCTTGGTTGCGGGCACATCCCTAGTACGGGGTGTGCAAGAGGCAGCTGATTGATGACTCTCTCATCTATGTTTCTAACTCTCTATCTCTCTCCCTTCCTCTCTGTAAAATAATCAATAAAAATATTTTTAAAAAAAGAAAGAAAAAAGAACAACAACAACATGGCTGTTGTAATAAAAATGCAATTTTCACCCTAGCTGGTTTGGCACAGTGGATAGGGCATAGGCCTGAGGACTGAACGATCCTGGGTTTGATTCTGGTTAAGGCACATACCCGGGTTGTGGGCTTGATCCCCACTAGGGGACATTTTAGAGGCAGCTGATCGATAATTATCTCTCATCATTGATGTTTCTATATCTCCCTCTCCCTTCCTCTCTGAAGTCATATAAAAATATGAAATACATATAAAAAATGCAACTTTTCCACCCTGCCTTGGGCATCATGTAAAATTGAGGTTTTGACTATGGTTTCCTGTGCCCGTTGTTCATGACTGTGTACCCCAGAGTATAAGCATCCCGATCTGAGATGCCCAGAACCAGGGCATCTCAGAAGGGAGAGCAGGCAGAATGTACTGCAGCCCTGAGCAGAGACTCCCCCGACTCTCAGCAAGTGGCCCTGGGACTCTGAGGGGAGTTCCCACCACTGCAGGGTGACAAGGACCACCACAGACTGTGTCCTGACACGGGCATGTGCCCATCTTCCGAAAGGGGATGCACAGAAGCAGGCATCCCAGCCAGGACCTCAGTGAGAGCAGTATGGCTTATGTGCGGTGTTTGAATTGGCCACATACTGACTGTGGGACCTCATGCCTGAGGCTCCTAGGTCTGGTGACTATCTGTGAGCAGCAGATTTCCCAGAAAAGAGGCTGATAACAGCATTCACCTCGCGGGGTGGGGGTGGGGGGAACAGTGCATGAGATAATGCTAATGCAGGACTGACACAGCGGCTGCTCCACAGCTGGTGCTCCATGGATGAAGACCGTGCAAGAGGTTCCACCTGCTCATGGAAGACAGCGGAATAAAAGCCTGTAAGAATGGGCTTGGGTGAAGTGGTGGCAGCCTAGAACAGCGCTTCTCCTACTTTAATGTAAACAGGAATCACCAGGGATCTTGTTGAAACCGGTGTGGCTCAGTGGGTTGAGGGTCGATCGATGAATCTATGCCTGGGTTGCAGGCTTGATCCCAGTGTGGGGCATGCAGGAGGCAGCTGATCAATGATTCTCTCTCTCTCTCTCCCTTCCTTTCTGAGATTAGTAAAAATCTATTAAAAATAAAAAAGAATGCAGGTTCTGATTCAGCAGGTCAGGGCTGGGGCTGGGATGCCACCTTCCCAAGAGAATGCCACTCAAGTAGCAAAGGAGCATGAAATCAACTAGGCAGAGCCCAAAACACAAGTCAGTTCTGTTTTGTTAAAAAACAAAACAAAACCCTGGCCGGTTTGGCTCAGTGGATAGAGCGTCGGCCTGCAGACTCAAGGGTCCCAGGTTCAATTCTAGTCAAGGGCATGTACCTTGGTTGTGGGCACATCCCCAGGGAGTGTGCAGGAGGCAGCTCATCGATGTTTCTCTCTTATTCATGTTTCTAACTCTCCATTTCTCTCCCTTTCTCTGTAAAGAATCAATAAAACATATTAAAAACAAAAACAAAAAACAGCCCTCTAATTTCTCAAGATATGAAGTGAGAACAACGAAAAGCCTGGGGGCCATCTTGTGGAGAAGCCTGCCACCGCGTAGGGGCCTCACCTCCTCTCCAGGGACCTGGGAGCGGTCACTGCTGGTCCACCAGGGACGCCAGGCGGGACCTGGCGCAGACCTCCCCAGCCCCCCGGGGCTTCACGGGTGAAGAGGAGGAGGAGGAGTGGGTTTTAGTCACAGTCTGCTGGGCACAATCGCCCTCATCGCTGCCAGGCTTTTTAGAACGGTGTCCCCAGGCCGCCCCCACCAGCAGGGACAGGCTGGGACAGCCCCTCACTCCCCACCATTCGGCTTTATCCAGCTTCCTCGTTGCTGCCAGTCTCATCGGCGCAAGTGAAACCTCATTCTCATTTGAACGTGTATTTTCCTGTCCGTGAATAAATCTGACCACCTTTTCCCCTAGGCTTGCTGGGTGTGTTAAGAGCCTGCCGGAGGCCTGGCACACACCTCTGGGCTGAAGGCTGAGGCAGGCCCAGGGGAGGGAGAGCTGGGGAGCCAGGGGGCCCCTCTGCTCCCCTAAGGGGTGGTGGGCCAGGTCCAGGGAGCCAAGAGAAGGACCAGCAGCCAGGTCTGGGGTAGGGGTGGGGGGAGTGGGGGATGGGGAGCGGGGGGCGGAGAGAGGCTGCAGAGCGGAGCTCACATCAACCCCAAGGGCCGAGGCTGGGGGGAAGCGGGTAGGGGAGAAGAGGAGGAAGCGGGGAGGGTCAGGGGAGCGGCTGTCGCCTGCACCTGGATGGTCCCCGCTCGGCTTCGCGCCCCTCCCTCCCCTCGCGCCGGCTCCGGAGCTGCGGCGGCGGGAGGGCGGGCGCCGGGCGGGCTGCAGCGGCGGCGGCATGGAGGAGCACCTGCCCGGGGACACCGACGGCCGTGAGTCCGCGCTGCGAGGCCGGGGCGGGGCGGGCATTGGACCAGAGCATCCCCCTCACCCCCCGCACCCCGCACCCCGCACTCCCGCGGGGCGACCCCGCTGGGACTGGCTCGATGCACGCGTCCCTCGCTGCCTCGGGCTCCTTTGTGGCGCCCTCGGGCCGAGGGGCCCTGGCCGCGAACCGGCGACATCAGCTCGCAGCGAGCTGGCGATGCCATCCCTGGCCGAGGACCGACTTCGCGTGCCCGGAGCGACCGGCGCGCTCCCTGGTCCTCAGGGCGGCGCTGGGGGAGGGACCTAGCGCTGTCTCCATCTCTGCAGCAGCAGAGCTGGGCTCAGGCTGGTTTAGGAAGAGGCCGCAGAGACCGTCAGTAAGCGGTGGACAGGCTGAAGGCCCAGCTCCCCAGCATGCCCCGGGGCGGGGAGAGCGGTGACCACGTCAGATGGGGAAACTGAGACCCAGAGGAGAGGAGCTATGGTGTGCCCAGTGCCAGGGCCTCAAGGCCGGGGAGCAGCAGCCATGTGGGCATCCACTGGGAGAGGGGAGAGAAGGAGGGTGCCAGCCAGCGTCCTCAAGGGGATGGGTGTGGGGGAGGGGCTCCATCAAGGTGCCATTTCAAAGGGTACTGTGTTCTGCCGGGACGGGATCACCTGATCAGGACCTTTACAGTGAGCAGCAAGATGCAGGGGGGAGTGAGGGGTGGAGTTCTGGGCAGAGTCCCCAGCCTGGGCAGAGGCTCAGGGGTTGGAGTGCGCTGTGTATTTGATGTGGCCACAAAGAGGATGCCTGGAAGAGAGGAGACTCAGTTTGATCTGGGCTCTGCAGGGCCGGCTTGCTCCCGTTTGGACTCCTGGCTGTTTGCCAACACAAACCAGCCCACAGCCCCGAGGCGTCAGTTAAGAGAAAGGGAGCCAGAGCTGGAAGGGATCTCTCCAGTTCACTTTCTCTTGACCCTCCTGCCATGTGACAGCTGAAGAAACAGACTCCCTGGGCCTGGGCCCGGACTAGCCCAGGACCCCGCTGCTGGAAAGGCGGAGTGAGCACTCGAACCCCGGCTTCTCTAAGCTCACACCTGCAGTGCCAGCTCCTTCCCCAGGCGGGACCGTGCTTTACAGCCAGGGGGTTAAGGAAGGAAAAGCCGGGGAGCCAGTGTGAAGACCCACGTCCCGCCTGGTTCAGGGTTCGGGATCTGGAGAAGGGGCCGCATGCAGATGAAAGAGATGAGACAAGAAACAATAATTTGGAAATTGGGGGGCCAGGCGGGAGCCTAAGCCGAGAAGTAGGACTCCGTTTGGGCTCTGGCCTGGCCATCCTTTTATTCAGTTTGAGATACACCTATAGCCCTTAGGCAGGTGATTCCAGTGAGAGACAGACTGTCTTATCATAAGGATTTACACACTGTCCAGTGGGAAAGTTGCTTCAGCAGGTGATTCTGGTCAAGGGCACATGTCCTGGTTGAGGTCTTGATCCCCAGTAGGGGGCATGCAGGAGGCAGCCAATCAATGATTGTCTTTCACATTGATATTTCTGTCTTCCTCTCCCTTCCTTTCTGAAACCAACAAAAAGATATATATTTTAAAAATTACACACGTGTGTATATATATGCATGCCAGGGCCTGAATTTGGGAATATAGTAACTGACAAATCAGACAAAAATCTCTCCCATCACGGGCTTATCTTATAATGGGGGAAGCAGACTATAAACTTAAATATGTGAAGTAGCTTTTGCCCATAGTGAGAGGTGTTATGGAGAAAAGCAATGCAGGGCGGTGGGTAGGAAGGCACTTGCCTTGGTTGGGGCTTCACTGGCTTCCCCGGCTCACTTCCAGGTCTTTGGTCACCAGAATTTATTTTATCAAATGTATTGGGGTGACATTGGTCAGCATGAACATACAGGTTTCAGGTGTGGGTTTCTATGTTACAACATCCGTATATTGTACCATGTGCCCACGAACCCACAAATCTCCTGTCACTGCCACCAGAATTTAATCTCTGATCTTTTACCTTGGAGGAATGAGAGTGCTGACAATAGTGTCACTTACCAGCCATGCTAGAGGCTTCTCATATCTTATATCTAGTCATTACAATAGCCCTGGAGGGCAGCTTGTGTCTCCGTTTGGAATACGGTGAAGCTGAGGCACGGGATAATGAAGTAACCAAGTCATACAGCTAGACAGTGACGCAGCCAGAGCTCACTGCCTTCGGGCAGTTACTCTGAGGTCCACAGGTTGTATCTGGGAGGCACCAGAAGGCCTAAGACTCTCTCCCACTTCTGGGAAGCCATGTGGAATTTATCAGGCAAACCAAGCTGATGACAGGCCTGTCTGTCACCTCAATGCATCGCCGGCCACTTGTCCCTAGACAGAGCCTGGGCTTAGACATTCACACTGGACCGTGCATGCAGGATGTGGGTCTGGCAGCAATAAAACCACAAGAGTACCTCTTGTAATGGCTCCTCAAGGGACCAGAAAGTATTTGTGTGTCCAAGCATTTCTGGAGGAGGGACAGGCATCTCTTAGTCTGGGGATCATTAGTGTCACTCATGGAAGCAGAGTGTTGTTTTTTGTGTTTTTTTAAAATATATTTTATTGATTTTTTTTTTACAGAGAGGAAGGGAGAGAGATAGAAACATCGATGAGAGAGAGTCATCGATCAGCTGCCTCTTGCACACCCCCTACTGGGGTTATGCCCGGAACAAGGTACATGCTCTTGACCGGAATCGAACCCGGGACCCTTCAGTCCCCAAGCCGACGCTCTATCCATTGAGCCAAACCGGTTTCGGCTGGAAGCAGAGTTTTGTGGACCCCTCCCTGTGCCCCGCTTTGGGCTTGCTGTGAGCTGTAGGGGGGTTGGGAAGGGTCCGGTGTGGCCAGGGCCCCCAAGGAGCTTGAGGTTCAGCCACGAGCAGTCAGGACAATAGCAGCATGGGGGTCACCAGGCCTGATCCCTCCTGACTTGGCCACTAACCCTCTGAGTCCACCACTGCCCATACAGGGGACTGGCAGGGGAGCTCTGAGGTTCTCTCTAGGGTGGCCGGGTCTCTCTTTTCGAGTCCAGCAGGGAAAGAGAGATGATCCGATTCTTCGAGTAGAGGGGCTTGGGATTGAGAAATAAAAGAGACAAGGCACAGAGACAGAGGAAAAAGCTGGGACTGGGTGGACCGCTGCCCTCTTCTGACGGAGAGACAGTGACCCAGCGTGTTTATTTTATACCCCCAGATACCAGGAAGTTTCACCAAAAGTCAAGACAAAGGAGATTATTTGCATTCTTGCATTCCTGGTGCTTGACTGGATTTACATATCAAAACCCACTCACTGACACCTGGGCAAAGATAAGAGCCAGTGCTGAGAACACATCTGCCTTTTTGGCAAAGCGTGTTCCCAGGGCGTGGCCTTGCCAACCGCCACTGGGTTCAGCTGACAATAATTGAAGAATGCCCCTGTGCCTTCCCAGGCGCGCTCAACACTCTAGTCTGAGACTATCTGAGGTAGGGGTGCATGATGAGGGTGAGAGGTGGGCACAGAGGCCACAGAGAAGGCCCCCTCGCTGGGAGAGGAGAGAAGGGGTGGAAGGATGAAGACAGAGAAGCCAGGTGAGCATGCCCCCGGCCTCTGCAGGGCCTGACGCAGCGCAGGACTCAGTAGCTCCTGGCTGCTTTCCATACTGGGCTGTGGAAAAGGCAAATGGACTCCGAGGGGAATGAATACCATTCCCTTCTTCTTTTTAAAAGCCGACGCTCTATCCATTGAGCCAAACCGGTTTCAGCCCATTCTCTTTTTAAGGGGGGGGGAGGAGAGGGGCGAGCCTGGTGATGGGGCACCTCTAACGGGTGAGGGGCACACGCCTCGCTCTGTGGATGGTCTTGCCCACGGTCTCCCATGTCCAGAGTCCTGGCCGTGTGGACCTGTGGTGAGTTAGAAAGAAACGCAAGCTATCTGGGGACGTCTCCACATAGGAATGGAGGAGAGGTACCCCCTCGCCCCTCCATTCCTTTGGAAGACCCCAGCCCAGGAAACACTCAGGGCCAGGGAGGGGCTGTGCACTGCGCCTTGGGATGCAGTGTGGGGTCCCCCACTCTCACCCCACTTCCCTTCTTCTCCCCGCAGTGCTTCCTCTGGAGAGGCAGCTCCACGAGGCTGCCCGCAGGAACAACGTGGGGAGGATGAAGGAGCTGATCAGGAGCAGAGTCAACGTCAGGGCCAGAAACCACGTGCGTAAACAGGCTCCTCCCGCTCCGGAGGGATGGAGGCAGCGCGGCGGGGACGCCTCCCCCAGGAGGGAGGGTTTAGGGAGTGTGTATCTGCACCTGCATTTGCAGGGTGTCCACATTGTCTCAAGGTCTCCGAGGCCTCACCCGAGGCCAGGGTCAGGATTCTGAGCCAGACGGGTAATTCCAGAGCTTACCCTCTATAAGCTACTAGAAGCTTCTGAAATGCATGAAATGTGTGCAAGGGGCTCAGCCCTCAGCCACGCTTCATCCGGAAGGTTGTCCGGAATGACGCCTGGGAGGCGGTCCAGCTGTCCGGTCCAATGAGCATATTACGCTTTTATTAGTATAGACACTGAGAAGACCCATCTGAAAGGCATTCCTGACTCCAAGGAAGGTCAGGAGTCAGAGGCTGACAGACAGGCAGACAGGAGCTGAACCCGGAGGGACGAAGGTGGGGTGATGCCTGAGGTTTGAGACCAAGAGCCACCAGACCAAGAGAGGCTGAGCATGCACGAGTCAGCCGTGTAGCTCAGTTCTCTGGGGGCCTCTGTGCCCCCTGAATGTCAAGTTGCTGTGGGCCCCCGCTTGCCCTCAGGGACTCACAGACCAGGCTGGGAGAGCAGACATGAAGCCTGGGGGACGGGGCACCGCTAACGGGCGAGGGGCACACACCTAGCTCTGAGGGCTGCAGGGGAGGGGGCCCTCAGCCCTGCCGGGGGAGAGGACAGAGGGCAAAGCCTCTCCTTCTGGTGGGGACACTGAGGACAGGCCTGAGCACCACCCGGGGAGCACTCCCGCCTCAGGGCTCTGGGTGTCGGGAGCACCTCAGAGCAGATGCCAGCGTGGGTGCTAGTCAGTGGAGGCTGACAGGCTGGGTGCAGGATTTCTGACTGCAGCAGAGGCTGCTCTGTCTGGGGTGACACGACAAGGGTATGACCTGGGTCTTCAGAGCCTTCCTGGGACTCAGTAATAGTAACAGGGTTTCTGAGGTTTTAGAGCACTCATCCACCTGTTTCCTGGGATCCTCACTCACCCAGAGAGAGGGGAGGGGGAAAGAAAGTATTAATCCTGTTCATATGTTGAAGCAGGCACAGACGGGGCAGCAAGTAACCTCAGGTCACACGGCAAGTTATTGATGACTGGAGCCTTGGTCTCAACCCCTAGACAAGCACTAGCAAGGATGCATGGATTTGTTGGATGACAGGATGCTAATGCCTGACTTATTCATTCATTCACTCATTCATTCATTCACTCACTCATTCATTCAATCAACGAGTATTTATTAAGGGCTTACTACTCTGTGCCAGCTCTGTGCCAGGTGCTAGAGACAGAGCAGAACCCATGATACAGCCCTCTTGGAGCTGATAGTCTAGTGGGGGAGGACTGACATTAAACTGAGTATCACAAGCAATTCATCCCACCGTGAGCAGGTGAGCTCCATGGGGATGAGAGGGGTCTGTCCCACCTGGGGGGTCAGGGAAGGCTTCTTGAGGAAGAGGTGTTTTTAGGAGCCAGTGAAGAAGGACAGTGTTCCAGGCAGAGACACTACTCTGAGAATTAGTGGTTCTCTCATTGTCCCCCCACAAGCAGAAAACTATGGAGGGACACTGGCTTCCCCAGGCCTGCTCAGAGGGCCAGATACTATCATAAACGCCACGGTGGTGTGAGAACCAGGGGGGGGGGTCAGGCGCCCTCAGACCCATTCTGTGGGAAAGAGGGGACAGAACTCAGGCCCTCAGGGGCCCTCGGGGACTTGGAGGAAAACCATAGGCCACAGGGGAAGAGTGGGGAGGCTGGCATTTCTGAGGAGCAGGGGTAGGCAGGGCCAGGCCATGCGGTTTGTCCCCAGAGCGGTGGGAGCTGTGGAGAGGTGCAGGTGGGGGACAGGTGGATCTGCTTCCTGTGTTTTACTACGTGCCTTCCAGCTGCTGCCCTGTGGAGGCGGGAGCGGCCAGGATGCCGCTGGGGCCCCAGTCACTGGTCCCAGAGCCGGCAAGGCTTCCAAGGCTGTAGACCAGCTTCCTGGCCTGGTGGTGGGGGAGAGATGGGGGTGGGCCAGGCAGTCCAGCCTCACAGGATCCCCTCCCTCCCGGCAGGTGGACAGGGTGGCCCTGCACTGGGCCGCAGGCGCGGGGCACGAGCAGGCGGTGCGGCTGCTCCTGGAGCACGAGGCTGCCGTGGACGATGAGGACGCGGTACGGGACCCGGTTGGAGGCGTGTCTGCCTGCCTGCCTGTCTGTCTGTCTGTCTGTCTCAGGCTGGGGAAGCCCACTCTGGATCGATGAGCAGCAGTCGTTGCCAAGGTTCCTGCTGATATGCAGATGACAGGTGCAGAGTGGGCAGGGAGCCTTTAGGGGCTGTGACACTGCAGCCCCCTGTCCAGCCATAAAGGTCTCTCCATTTCCGAGGGCCTTTCAGTTCCTGCGGATACATACCACGTGGGCAAGGAGAGAGATGGCCTGTAAAACAGATAACTGATTGGGTCAGTGAAGACCCCAGAAGGCAGGTCTCTCTTGGTATGCCACAGGCACCGTCCTGTCTAATCCTTAAACCAACAACTTGCACAGAGACTAGCAAGTTGGCAAGCAGCACGTGGCTGAGCATTGGAGAGTAGCAGGGTCCACAAAGTTAGCCCTACAGGTTTGTGGGAAGGGCTGATTCCGGCGATGACATTTGACAGGGATTCATTTAAGAGTCTAAATTTAAATATTGGCCTGGCTGGTGTGGCTCGGTTGACCGTTTGACCCATGTAACAAGAGGTCACCAGTTTCCATTCCTGGTCAGGGCACATGCCTGTGGTGTGGACTCAATCCCCAGCAGGGGGCGTGCAAGAGGCAGTTGACTGATGTTTCTATCTCTTCCTCTCCCTTCCTCTATAAAAATCAATAAACACACACACACACACACACACACACACACACACACACAAACACACACACACACACACACACACACACACACACACACAAAAAAAAAACCCCACCTGTATTTGGAAAGAGTATATTCTGAGGTTGGTTCCTTCCAAATTTTTGTGTTAAAAGGGTCCCTCTTTATGAAATGATGGTGACAGTAGACAGCAGCTGTTTTATTTAGCAACCTCCCCTATCCTGACAGTTTGCAATAATGTATCAGCCTCTGTTTTTAAAAATGTCCTGGACTTCATTTATTTTTATTTATTTATTTTTTAATATATTTTATTGATTTTTTACAGAGAGGAAGGGAGAGAGATAGAGAGCTAGAAACATCAATGAGAGAGAAACATCGACCAGCTACCTCTTGCACACCCCCTACTGGGGATGTGCCCGCAACCAAGGTACGGTACATGCTCCTGACCGGAATCGAACCTGGGACCTTTCAGTCCACAGACCGATGCTCTACCACTGAGCCAAACCGATTTCGGCATGTCCTGGACTTTAAATTCCTAAAGCTGGGAGCTCCTTGGCCTGGGTGGCACTTTTGTTTTATTATGGTTTGCAAAGCAGCCACACGTCCTCATTCTCCCCTCCTCCCATGTCTTCTCCCCTAGTTTGGGATGAATGCACTTCTCCTGTCTGCCTGGTTTGGCCACTTACAGATTCTTCAGATCCTGGTTAACTCGGGGGCCAAAATCCACTGTGAGAACAAGGTAAGGCCTCAACTGGCAGCCCCTGTCTCCCACCCCCTCCCCTGTCCCCTGTCCCCTGACCCACCTGCACAGGTATACCCCACCTCTGACACCTGCCCTGTCGCTGCTCCCTTTGGTCCCACATACACGCCTCTGCCTGCCCCAGTTTGCCTCCTGAAAACCCAGCTGAGCTCAACCCGGTGAAACTGGGGCCCTCGCTGCTCCCACTGGCGCTTGGAATAGGGCCAGAGGTGCCTCTTGCATCAACATTGAACTCCTCTTTCTTCTGATCCCCTCATCCTTTACCACTGTGGATGCTGTGACTGACCAGAGGCTGGTCAGATCAGTACCAGTGAGGGACTCTGTGGCCTCCTGGTGCATTGGCTGTGCCCTAAGGGGACTGGAAAAAGGGAAGTTACCCTGACATTCCAAAAGTATGTTATCTTATTATTGTAGATACAAAAAGACTGTAGGCTCAGTTAAGGTCCAAGTTGATATTTGTCAGGCTAGATACAGGCCTAAGACATGACTACCCATTATAAATGGCCTTTTATTTCAAAAAGCTTTAATTTCAGTCCATGCTTTGTGGTCACTGAAAGATGAGACAGAGGGCCGAAACCCAGGACTACAGGCTTTACTGGAGAAGGACCCTGCCGGGCAGCCTCGAAGGGGAACATAACAGCGCGTGCAGGGCGCCTTTTGAGGGGAGGAATGGGAAGGGATGGGGCTTAGGGTACTTGGCACTCGCTGATTGGTGGTTTCCTATAAGGCACATGATTAGGCACGTAGGTACTTAGGAATCAGGGACTTAGGGTTTTTGGCAGGTGCTGATTGGTGGTTCAATGTACAGTCCATGTAAGGTGCTCAGGAATGTCCAGGCCGCTGGTGCAGTTTACCTCACATTCCCATACTCTGTCCATCAGTTGGGGGAAGGGAGGATCTATCAGTTACTTTAGGTCTCTGAGTTTGCAAGGCCAGCATGCAGACCTTCCCTGAGCTTGTCAAGTTAGCAGGTGGCCCCTTTTCATCCAGAACAGGGTCAGGCCCCGAACAAAGGAGCATCTTGTCCTTTGTTGGGGCCCAGCACATGATGTGTTGTGGTTCGCCAATGGGAAGCTCTCCGAAGGCCCTCCTTTGGGGTCTTTGTGGATTCATTACACAGACATGAGTGATGCAATCCGTGGCCATTGGTGCTGACTCAACCTTTGGTCCTCTCCATTCCTGCATGTCAGGGGTGAGACAAAGGTTCAACCTTCTCATCCAGATTGGTTCCCCGGGCAACCAGGCCCCAACCTTACATTAGGGGCTTTTGCAGTTACCTCATTTACGTAATAAAATACACCTTTATCGCTTTTAGCGCTTAGGAAATTTGAAAGCTCTGCTCAAGGAAGAGGTATACCCAAAACCAGTTTGGCTCAGTGGATAGAGCTGCGGACTGACGGGTCCCAGGTTCGATTCCGGTCAAGGGCATGTACCTTGGTGGCGGGCACATCCCTAGTGGGGGGTGTGCAGGAGGCAGCTGGCAGCTGATTGATGTTTCTCCCTTCCTCTCTGTAGAAAAATCAATAATATATATAAAGGAAGAGGGATAAAGACCAAATATATATTTCTAATTACCAGTATAAACTACGATATCACTTTTCATCAGTTAAAGTAGAGATGCCAGGTTTCTTCACTGTAAGACTGTCAGCATTTCCCCCTTTCTGTAGTCTGATGTTGGGAACTCTTTTGTGGTTTTAATTTGCATTTCAGTAACAACTAAGGATGTCAGATATCTTTTCACGAGCTTATTTGCCATCCATATACTTTGATGTCCAAATTATTTTATAATTGTGTTGTTTAATTTCTCATTGGTGAGTTTTTAGAGTTCTTTACATATTTTGGATGCATTTAAAAATAAATTACAGACATTAGTGTATTTCCTTTAAATACTTCAGCATACATATTATTAACTAGGGTTCAATTTCCTTACATACAAGGAAATACACGAACCTTAAATTTATACTCTCTGCGATTTGACAAATGCCACTCCTGTATAACCCAAACCCCTGTCAAGCTGTAAAGCGTTGTTGTTCTGTTGACTTTTATAGCCCGTTGATTGTTGCGATCTATTGGAAAAGCAGTACTTTACACGCTCTCGCTGCAACGGAAGGCCAGGGTAGAGGCTCTGGGCTGCAAACACAACGTTGGCAAACCTCCCTCCCTCACATTGCCCCTGGGGCCAGGAGACCTCCTCCCTCACCGCATGGGAGAAGGGTCTCCGCCCCGGACTGCAGGGACCACCTGGCTTGTTTCAGGACGGCCTGACCTTGCTGCACTGCGCAGCCCAGAAGGGCCACGTGCCGGTGCTGGCGTTCATAATGGAAGACCTGGAGGACGTGGCCCTGGACCGTGCTGACAAGGTGAGGGTGGCATCAAGCCTGTCCTCTCCACGGGGCCCGGGGCTCCTGGGGCCACGCGTGCCCGTTCCTCAGGTGTGTCCTTGGAGCTCTGGCTGGTGCAGACTGGGCCCCGTCTCAGGGAGCTGCTGGCCTAGAAGGGACATGAGGGCACACGTGAGCAAGACCAGCAGAAAGATGGTCAGTTCCGTCTGAGAGGCTCTGATAAGGACGAGACGTGTGAGAGAGGGAAGCCCCTGCTTCCTGCTTCCTGGAGGAGGTGGCATTCGGTGGAGGAACTGAATTCTGTCAATACCCTTGGGCAGCAGGGGGCTGTCCCAAACAGGGGAGAGCATCCTAGAGAGTGAGAGGTGGAGAGGGGCCCTTTGCGTGTGAGTTCAGGAGGGTCAGAGTATTGGGAGTGAGGGCCAGAGGGTTGGGGTCCCTCATGAAGATCTCGACCCCCAGGCTCAGGACTCTGTCCGTTATTCAATAGGCGGCAGGGAGCCAGAGGAGGGTTTCAGTGGGGGAGGGAACCCCCAGTGGGGTCTTGTTGGGACGTTGGGTGTGTGGGGCCAGGAGAGGGAAGAGTGTCTGGGTCAGGAGAAGCCATGGTGAGCCCAGCGTGGTTGGGGAAAGAGAGTCCGGGTGGGCAGAACTTAAAAGCTCACTCTCTTCTCCTCCCGGCAGCTGGGAAGGACAGCATTTCACCTGGCTGCTGCACACGGGCAGCTGGAGGCTCTGGACTTCCTGGTGGGCTCTGGCTGTGACCACAGTGTCAAAGACAAGGTACTGTGACCACAGGGCCCGGGTTCTGGGCTTCAGAGGGGTGGGCGCTGGCAGCTCATCTGGGCCTACTTCTTTTTTTTTTTTTTTTTTTTAATATATTTTATTGATTTTGTACAGAGAGGAAGGGAGAGAGATAGAGAGTTAGAAACATCGATGAGAGAGAGTCATCGATCAACTGCCTCTTGCACACCCCCTACTGGGGATATGCCCACAACCAAGGTACATGCCCTTGACCGGAATCGAACCTGGGACCTTTCAGTCCCCAAGCCGACGCTCTATCCATTGAGCCAAACCGGTTTTGGCTGGGCCTACTTCTTCTTCTTTTTAAAAAAATATATTTTATTGATTTTTTTTTTTTTTTTAATAGAGAGGAAGGGAGGGGATAGAGAGTTAGAAACATTGATGAGAGAGAATCATCAATCAACTACCTCCTACACACCTCCTACTGGGGATGTGCCTGCAACCAAAGTACATGCTCTTGATCGGAATTGAACCTGGGACCTTTCAGTCCGAAGGTCGATGCTCTATCCACTGGGCCAAACCGGTTTCGGCTGGGCCTACTTCCGACTCTAATTTGCTGGAGGTGCAGGAGCCCAAAGACCAGAGAGTGAACGATGTCCACCCCGCAGGCATTTTTTTGAGCACACACACACTCTCTGGGCTAACTCTGTGCTACAGGTGAGGGGCACAGAGATGCCTAAGACAGTTTCTTACTCAAGGACCTCAGTGCCACCATCCTAGTAAAGAGCTATGATCTAATAAGGGGAGTTAGGATGGCAAATCAGATTGGTTGGCAGTGCTGCCGGGAGTGGATATGAGCGGACTGTGATTCCATTGGGAACATCTGTGGTTGAGGGTGTGGGAAGAGTCAGGGGGTGGCAGCCACCCTCCTGTGGTCATTTGCTTTCTTTGTGGTTTAGTAAGCTACAGCGATGATGACAAAAGTAGGGTGAGAGCACTGAGGAGGGAGCACTTCACGAATCTGAGGACTGAGGGATGGGGACGGGAAGGACTACCTTGCAAATGACTCGTACCAATGGACCATTGCAAATCATTAAGCGAATACACTGAGAGGCCAGGTTATGATGATCTCTGATTATGATGATAATCTGGCCACTCAGTGTATATCCCATATAATAAAAAGCTAATATGCAGATTGTCCCCTCAACCAGGAGTTCGACCAGCAGGCAGGCCGGCCAACTGCCCATGTCCCATCCCAGGCCACCACCCATGCACAAATTCATGCACTGAGCCTCTCTCTCTCTCTCTCTCTCTCTCTCTCTCTCTCTCTCTCTCTCTCACACACACACACACACACACACACACACACACACACACACACTGAGTGGCCAGATTATTATGCGTTCAGAGATCATAATAATCTGGCCACTCAGTGTATGTTGCAGCAGATCCTAAACAATGCTTTTAACAAAGAGATGAACTCTGTTTTTAATGCTCTGATTAACGTGCTTGGTCGGAATAGGAGTGCTATTTCTGTGCTAGGGACCGAGAGCTCACAGACAAATACCTCGCAGGCTCTTAGAACTGGAAGGCATCTTCACTGGGGGCCAGTTCAGCCCTCTCACTTCACAGACGTGGAAACTGAGAGCCAGGGAGGGGACTGCTTTAGCCCGGGTCACTCAGCGAGGCCAAGGCCAAGCTGGGTTTGGAGCCAGCATCCTTTCGCCCAGCCCTGTGCTCCTCCTCTCACTAGGCTGCCTGCTGGGGCACTGGGTCCTCAGGTCTGCACCGAATTCATCTGTCTGCATTCATCCTTTTGGGATGAAAAGGCTGCGTGGGGCCTGAGAATCAGATTAGGCTGCTTTCCTTCATTTTGGAAACATGGCCGGAGATGTTCTGTGCCAGGCCCCGAGCCAGGAAGCAGGGTTACAGAGAGGGGGAAGGACAGCCCCTGCCAGGACACGTCACTCTGGAGGCAAAAAGATTGCACTTGGGGCCCAGGAGAGCAAGAGCAACAAAACCAGAGAATGAGAAAAGCCCAGCTTTTAAAAAAATATATATTTTTGCTCGCCGAAACCGGTTTGGCTCAGTGGATAGAGCATCGGCCTGCGGACTGAAGGGTCCCGGGTTCGATTTCAGTCAAGGGCATGTACCTTGGTTGCGGGCACATCTCCAGTAAGGGGTGTGCAAGAGGCAGCTGGTCGATGTTTCTCTCTCATCGATGTTTCTAACTCTCTGTCCCTCTTTCTTCCTCTCTGTAAAAAATCAATAAAATATATTAAAAAAAAAAAATATATATATATATATATATATATATATATATATATATATATATTTTTTTTTTTTTTTTTTTTTTTTTTTTTTGCTGATTTCAAGAGGAAGGGAGAGAGAGAAAGAAACATCAATAATGAGACATAATCATTCACGGGCTGCCTCCCGCATGCCCCCTACTAGGGATCAGCTCGAAACCCAGGGCATATTCCCTGATAGAAATAGAACAGTGACCTCCTGGTTCATAGGTCAATACTCAACCTCTGAGTTATGCCAGCCCAACTAGCCCAGCTTTGATGAGCTTGCTCAGAAGCCTGCAATCAGAAATTCTAGAGAGAAGCGTTTAAAATTGCACACCCCTGTGAAGTTCTGTGAGCTCAGATGAGGAATATTTTCATTTTGTATTTCATCCGGGGAGGGCAGCCAAGAGAGCTTTGCAAGGCCCTGGGCTACTGAAGGTCTGACTCCTGCTGGTCCTACCTATCAGACTACACAATGACATAACGATGATAGCACACGTGTGCCACAGGTGCTGTGATGGTAGAGAGGCTTTGAGCATCCAGAGGAAGTGATTAATTCCACTGGTACATCGAGGAGATGTTGATAGGGCCTCCCAGAGGTGGAGAGGTTGGGCATTCCCACTGCAGAGGGCAGAGGTCACTGGGCCCCAGGCCTAGCCTCTATCGCTGGCTCTCCTGCCTCTGAGCCCCCTGCCCTGCCCAGGCCGAATTCAAGTGTCCTTGTAGTGGTCCCTGCCACCTGTGGCTTCAAAGGGCAGGATGTGGCTATTTATACCCCAGAAGGAAGAAGCAAGCCCTGCCCTGCGAGCTGGGGGCCCTTGTCGATTCGTTTGCATTTCTTTGATCAAGGAGACTTAACCCTATGGCCACATTCCCACAGTCTGATCCTTGTGCAGAGAGCTGACTAGGCTGCTAAAGGCACATTTGCAGAGAGATGGGAGAGAAGCAGAACAAAGCTGTTGGGATTTTTTTTTTAAAATATATTTTATTGATTTTTCACAGAGAGGAAGAGAGAGGGATAGAGAGTTAGAAACATCGATGAGAGAGAGTCATCGATCAGCTGCCTCTTGCACACCCCCTACTGGGGATGTGCCCGCAATCAAGGCACATGCCCCTGCCCGGAATCGAACCCGGGACCCTTCAGTCTGCAGGCCGATGCTCTATCCAGTGAGCCAGACCGGTCCCGGCAGCTGTTGGGATTTTTAAACTTGTTTTTTGTTTATGAATATGCTATAACTGTTGTCATAAAAGACATGCAGTGTTTCGCCTTTGTTCCCATAAGATAGGTATCGCTGTTTTATGTGCGTGTGGATCTATAATAGGGGGGCGGGGCATGTTTTCAGCTCTTTTAAGTGCTGCTTTGGCTTTGGTGTATGTTCACATCCTCATGGGCCCTGAGAAGATCTGTGCCTGAATGGGAATGTCCACCCCTCATGGAGCCAACGAGACAGGCCAGCGCAAGGAAGGAGCCTGAGTGAGGGGCCCCTGTGACTGGTTCAGCGAGATGTGGGCCTTTGGGGTGTGAGGAATGGCCAAGGCTACATCTTCCCTTCTGGATGCTTCCGTGGTCCCTCAGCGGTCCTTGCCCTGGTCTTCCCTCTGTGGTTCCTCTTTAGGGACCGATTCCAGCCGTCCCCCTCTTTGCTGGGGCCCTCACACCCCTCCCGGCTGTCCTTCGTAATGAGAGTCCTTTAAGGATAACCCTGAGCTGGCTGCCTTCGTGGGACTTCTCTTTTTAAATATATTTTATTGATTAAAAAAAATACATTTTATTGATTTTTCACAAAGAGGAAGAGAGAGGGAGAGAGAGAAACATCAATGAGAAAGAATCATCGATCAGCTGCCTCCTGCACCCCCCCCACTGGGGATGTGCCCTCAACCAAGGTACATGCCCTTGCCCGGAATCAAACCTGGGACCTTTCAGTCCCTAGACCGACGCTCTATCCACTGAGCCAAACCGGTCCCGGTATATTTTATTGATTTTTAACAGAGAGAAAGGGAGAGAGATAAAGAGCTAGAAACGTCGATGAGAGAGAAACACCGATCAGCTGCCTCTTGCACACCCCCTTCCGGGGATGTGCCCACAACCAAGGTACATGCCCTTGACCGGAATCGAACCCGGGACCTTTTAGTCCGCAGACCGATGCTCTACCACTGAGCCAAACCGGCTTCGGCCTTAGTGGGACTTCTAATACAAAGAACACTGTGCCTTCCGCCCACCACATGGAGCATCTTGGTTTTGTCACTGTTACTTTTGTACTTCTCATGTGAGGCAACAACCAGTCCTCTGGCTCTCTAGTTCCAGGAGGCAAATGTGAAGCTCCCATCACATTATTTACTCACTAGAGGCCTGGTGCACGAAAGTCATGCACGGTGTGTATGTGTGTGTGTCCCTCAGCCCAGTCTGCACCCTCTCCAATCTGGGAACCCCTCGAGGAATGTCCGACTGCCCATTTAGGCCCGATCCCACAGACATCCCTCTCACAATCCAGGACTGCTGGCTCCCAACTGTCTGCCTGCCTGATTGCCCCTAACTGCCCTTCCCTGCAGGCCTGATCACCCACAACTACCCTCCCCTGGCGGCCATCTTGTGGAGGCCATCTTGTGTCCACATGGGAGAGCTATCTTGTGTGTTGGAGTGATGGCCAATTTGCATATTGCCTCTTCATTATATAGGATTGAACAAATGTCTGTTGAGAGTTTGCCGTGTGCCTGGCTCCTATTCTAGGCACTTGGGGAAACCAGAGAACAAAATGGACAGAAATCCCCGCCCTGTGATGCTTACGTTCTGCCAATAGAGTCAGACAATAAACCATGAGCAGGGGCTACAAGTAAATCATAAAGGTGTGAGCAGGCCGAGTGCTGTGGAGAAGGAGGAAAAGTGGAGCAGGATGAGGGGATCGGGAGGACAGGGGCGGAGTCCCAGCTGTACGTGTGTGGTCAGGGTGGGCCTCCGTATTCCACAAGAAGCTGATAACGTCTTGGGAACAGGCAGGGCGGCAGGGGCTGGAGTTCTGGCCTTGAGCATAGGAGGCAGGGTGGTCTGCAGTCTCCAGGGAGGGGCCGGTTTTAGACAGGAGCATGGAAAGCAGGGGTTTATTATTATTATTTTTTAAGTATGTGTCTGCCTTGAATTGTAGAAAGGAGAGACCAGGACTTGGCCGAGGGCAGTGCCCTGGTTGTAGTCTCCGGCACAGTTCTCAGGAGCAGGTGGCTTCGGCCCCACACTCAGGGCTGCAGCGTGTCATGGACTTGCCCTGTGACCCCGGAGATGTCGCTCCCTCTCCGGACCTCCGTTTCCACGTCTATAACATGAGGGGTGGCTCCGGCAGGCCCTCAGAGCCTGGACGGCGTGTGCTGCCACCGCCCCTCCTTGCAGGACGGGAACACGGCTCTCCACCTGGCCGCGGCTCGGGGCCGCCTGGCAGTGCTGCAGCAGCTCGTGGACATCGGGCTGGACCTGGAGGAGAGGAACGTGGTGAGGTGCCACCTGGATGGCGCAGACACGGGTGCCACTCACTCTCTGCCTTCAAGGGGCCCCGGGCCGTGGTTTCCCCCCACAGAGGTCCTAGAGCTGGAAGCTGAGGATCTGTTCTTGAACCAGCAGCCCGCCAGGAAAAAACCTACGGGCTTAGTGGGGCACCAGGCAGGAGGGGTTACCAGGAAGTCGGGCACAGGGTGTGTGCTCACAGAAGGGAGGAGTCTCGTGACCAGGATGGGCAGGGCGGCTTCCTGGGATAGGAGGGAATGGACAGAGAGCGGGGTGAGGCTGCCTGCAGGGCAGGAGAGCCTGAGCAGAGGGGTGGGGGGGAGGGGCGGGAGATGAGTGTACCACTTGTCCCTCAAAGTGAGAAAATCAGGGGCAGGGATTGGGGAACCGCAAATAATGGGGTCGTTGTCCTAGGAGCAGGGGAGCTCCAAGCCCTGGAGCCTGGCAGGACGGGGTCCTCTGGTCTCGGGTCCCGGCCTCAGCCTCCTGCCCTCCCCCGCCTCCCCCTGTCCCGTGTGTTTCAGGAGGGTCTGACCGCCCTGCACGCCGCTGCTGAAGGGACCCACCCCGACTGTGTGCGGCTCCTCCTGGCGGCTGGGAGCAGCCGGAACGCCCTCACTCAGGTAGCCAGGCCTCCCACCACTGACGGCGGATTTCAAAAGCTCCGTCCCTTCATCTTCCACATAACCAAGGGGTTACTCTGTTGGGTTGCATGCCTGAGGTTTTTGTTAATCCTCACCCAAGGATAGTTTTATTTACTTATTAAAATATTTTTGTTGATTTCAGAGAGGAAAGGAGAGGGAGGGAGAGATAGAAACGCCAATAATGAGGGAGAACCATTGATCGGCTGCCAACACTGGGAAACAAGCCCGCAACTCGGGCATGTGCCCTGACTGGGAATCAAACTGTGACCTCTGGCTCATAAATCAATGCTCAACCCAGCCGGGCCCATTAATTTTTAGGGAGAGGTGGAGAGAGGGGGAAAAACATTGATCTGAGGGAGACACATCAATTGGTGGCCTCCTACACGTGCTCTGGGCTGGGGTGGCTGCCCGGGGCGACTGAGCTGTAGCGGCGTCAACAGCACCACCACGACGATTCCAGAACATTGTGTGCACAGAGGCCACGAGGCAGCAGGCCCAGGTCTGGTCTGGGCTCCTCCCCCGCTGAGCTGCTGTGATCTGAGCGAGTTACCCTCTCTGAGCCTCTTTTCCCAACTATGAAATGGGAGGCAACCAACCAATGTGTCTCTCTCACACAGATGTTTCTCTTTCTGTCTCTCCCCCTCCCTTCCACTCTCTCTGAAAATCAATGGAAAAAATATTCCGGCGTGAGGATTAACAAAAAAGAAAATAGATAGCAAAATGGCAAATGTAAATCTGATAATATCAATGTTAAACCACTCTAAGTATGAAAAAAATATTAACATATATATATATATATATATATATATATATATATGCCTAAGCGACCACTATGACTGAATGACTGGAACAACCGGAATGACCAGTCCACCGTTCGCTATGATGCGCACTGTACTGGGGTTTGCCCTGTCCTGGCAGATCTTTTTTGTCCCCTTCTTTGAAAACCATCTCCTCGGAGTCTGCACTCTGCGTGTATTACCAGGTAGGAAATTGTGCAGCCTTTGGCCTGTGTACCAGGGGTTTGTGACAGGAGGCAAGGAAAGGCTGAGGTCATGTGAGCTCCTTTTACTGTCACCAGGCCCGGGCAAGTCATTGATTTCCTCGGCCTCGGAGTTGAAAGGGGATAATAGTCCCGAAAGGAGTGGGGGGAGGGAGGGGGGGTTATGAGAAAAATGGAATAATGGATCCCTAAGTGCTTTGCAAACCCGCTCTGAAGGGTCCGTAGGGTGTCGCATTGATTTCCGTTTTCCTCTAGAAAGGGCAGAGCTGCCTCCATTACGCAGCTCTCAGTGGCTCCGAGGACGTGGCCCGGGCCCTCATCCACTCAGGGGGCTGCACCAACGTGGCTGATCATGTAAGTGTGGGGCCTGGACTGACCCCAAAGTCTCCCATGACCCCATTGATTGGGGTTAGGATGGGGGCCAGCTGGCAGGCGGAGGAGAGAAATGAGGCTCAGTGGGACAGGAGTAGAAACCACGCTTGCGTTTCCTTCCAGGCGAAGCATCTCCTGTGTTCGCCTCCCTGGGATCCATGGGGTCGGGAATGATCTTATTTCAGATTTGGCCTCTTGGATGTCCACACTGTTTCTGTTACCTTGTGGCACATGCAGTGTACCATGGGCAACAGTTTAACCTTGTGGTTAAGACTTGGACTCTGGTGTCAGACAACCTGGCTTTGAGGCCTGGCTCTGCCACTCAAACTGAATGACCTTGGGCAAGCAGCATTGACCTCCCTGGGCCTCTGTTTCCATATCCATAAGTACTGTTATTATTCCCATTACACAAACGAGAAACTATCTGTTGTTTAAATTAGAAAGAGGTCATTTCATATAGCAGAAATAAGTACTCTATTTAAAATTATTGTAGCCTGGCTGGTGTGGCTCAGAGGTTGAGCATCAACCTATGAACCAGGAGTTCATGGTTCAGTTCTGGTCAGGGCACAGGCCTGGGTTGCAGGCTTCACCCTCCCGGGGGCTGTGCAGAAGGCAGCCAATCAACGATTCTCTCTCATCATCGATGTTTCTATCTCTTTCTCCCTCTCCCTTACTCTCTGAAATAAATAAAAATGTGTTAAAAATATATAACATGCCGAAGCCGGTTTGGCTCAGTGATTTCAGAGAGGAAGGGAGAGGGAAAGAGAGATAGAAACATTAATGAGAATCATGGATTGCCCTGACCTGGAATCACACCGCGACTTCCTGGTTCACAGGTTGAGCCACACTGGCCGGGAAAAATCTTTTCTAATGTTTATAAACCTTTTTCCCCGTCCTAAACTAGTAATGGCAACAGTGGGCATTCTTGCTGTACGTGTTTGCTCTGTTCTATAACCTTTTTGTACTCAACATGTGAGGGTGTATTTCCATAACCAGTATAGGTCTGTACTGCCAATTTCCTGGGTTTGTGCTATCGCACTGTACGTGTGTGACCTAGAGAAGGGGATACAGTGGCAGCATCTTCACTTTGTCACGCAGTCAGGGGTCACAGGGGACCATTGGGAAGGGAGTCTTCTAGCCTTGAGTCAGGCCTTGGGTAAGTGTAGGACTTGGAGTGAGATCTCTGTTCCAGTCACATTCAACTCTCACATTCGATGATATCACACATACCGTATTTTCCCGGCGTATAAGATGACCCCCTAATTTTACAGTTAAAACATAGGTTTAGGCCTATATTCGCTGTATAAGACGACCCCCCACTTCCGAGGCAACACCAGTTCTTTTTTTTTTTTTATTATTAAATATATTTTATTGATTTTGTACAGAGAGGAAGGGAGAGAGATAGAAAGCTAGAAACATCAATGAGAGAGAGTCATCGATCAGCTGCCTCTTGCACACCTTCTACTGGGGATATGCCCGCAACCAAGGTACATGCCCTTGACTGGAATCGAACCCGGGTCCCTTCAGTCCCCAAGCCGACGCTCTATCCATTGAGCCAAACCGGTCTCGGCTACCAGTTCTTTTTTTTAATAGACTGCCTCTCTGACTCTGGCCAATCTGAGCAGGCTTTTTACTAAAACACAGTGTAGCTTCGGGTACAGAACATGTATAATTTGCATGCATAAAAAGCCTGCTTGGATTGGCTGAGTCAGAGAGGCGGTCTATTAAAAAAAGAACTGGTGTTGCCTCGGAAGTGGGGGGTCATCTTATACAGCGAATATAGGCCCAAACCTATGTTTTAACTGTAAAATTAGGGGGTCGTCTTATACGCCGGAAAATACGGTAAGCAGGTAACAGGCACCTCCCGAGGTGCCAGGGGTTGAAAGTTCAATCACACAAGGTACCCATTAACTATGTGTCCTTGGCAAGTTGTGTAAGTTCTCTGACCTCAGTGTTTCCATTTGTAAGATGAAAATACCAGTAAAAATACCACTCTCAGTGCATGTGTGGGTCAAATGGGATATCAGAGAACATTAAGGCATTGTTGCTAGAAGGGGCCTTGGCGGACATCACTTGCCAGATGAAGAGTATCAGAGAGGAAATGACTTGCCCAAAGTCACATTGGGGGGTCCTGGCATAGCTAAGCCTCAAACGGGGGTCTTCAGGTCCCCACCCACCTTGAGGCTCAGTGTTTAGACCCAGGGGTTCAGGCTATGGGACTGTGAATGCCTCCGGCCACCCGTCCAACCTGGAAGCGCTATCAGTGCTCCTCCCTACTCTCACCCCCAGCACCCTCCTCCTGCTCGGCAGTCCCGAGAGGGACCCATCAGTTGATTTGTGTCTCCCTCACCCAGCAGGGAGCCTCTCCAATGCATCTCGCTGTGAAGCACGACTTCCCCACCCTGGTTCAGCTCCTCATTGATGCTGGCAGTGACCTGGACGCCACCGACAATGTAAGTGGCCACAGAAACCACTCGGTTCCCACGGAGCCTCTGGGCACCCTCACAGACTGGCCGGGCTGGGCTGCCGTCTACCAGATGGCCTGAAGCTAAGGCATTGCTTTTATAGCTTGATGTGTTGACGGTAGTGGTAGCATCATTTTTATTAACCATCCCCCTATTATTTTGAACATTTTGGTTGTTTTCAAGTTTTTCCCATAATCCTATATAATAAAAGGCTGATATGCAAATTGTCCCCTCAGGAGTTTGACCGACCAGGAGTTTGACCACTCTCTATGATGTGCGCTGACCACCAGGGGGGCAGTGTGGAATGAAGGAAGGCCCTGGTCGGCAGTTGGCAGCTGGGGGAAGGAAGGCCCTGGCCAGCCCTATTGCCAGCCAGGCCTAAGAACCCTACCTGTGCACGAATTTTGTGCACTGGGCTTCTTAATATATATATATTCTGTAGTTAACACCTTCCTACATTCAACCTTTTCCTTTCATTGACTCCCTTCCACTCCCCCCCGGGGAGAATCCTGGGACAGGGGTGACTGGGGCAGTCGTGTGTAATAACACGAGGCCTCTAAGTCCTGAAGTTGTGACCAGTCAGGAGCCTTTTTAAACCCGTTTCCTCAATCCACCTCCTACCCATGTATTCCTCAGTGCCAGCACATACACACCACTAAGGGAAGAAAGCAATTTGGCAAGAGATAGCATATTCTGTTAAAACTGTGACTATTTTTACATCTGAGAATTGAGCTTCAGGAAATATATTGAGAGCTCATGCACAAAGATATTCATTGTAGCATTATCAGTCTTCAGTTTGAAAATGGGCCAAATACTTCATAATAGAGAAGTGGTTAAGTAAATTACAGTATTGACATAGACTATGACGGAGCTATTAAAAACGGTGTTTGCGTGGCTGGTGTGACTCGTTGCTTGGAACATTGTCCCATACACTGAAAGGCTGTGGGTTTGATTCCCAGTCAGGACACATATAAGAGGCAGCTGATGGATGTTTGTTTCTCTCTCATATCAATCTCTCTCTCTCTTCCCCTTCCTCGCTCTAAAATCAACAAACATAACCTTGGGTGAGATTTTTTTAAAATGTTGTTTATTAGAGTTGATAATATGTGTAAAGTGTTATGATAGGTATAAAAATAAGTGCAAAATGTATGCATATTCGGGATGGTCTCAAATATGTAAAACCAACAAACTAAGAACATTCTGCATTAAAGAAAAAAAAAAGACTAGAAGAAATATCATCACAGAGGTTGACTTAGGTGGGCTAGTGAGCACTATTTTTTTGTTTTACCAACTTTTCTCTGGGATTAAGCTTACAATTAAACCCAGCTCACTCTTCCTCATAGCATCTTAGAGAAGCGTTGTTAAGGCCCAACAGGGAGTGGACCCACCTTGGTCCCATCCTGGTGGTAAGCACAGGCCACTGCTCCATGCCCTTCCATTGCCCTGACCCTGATCTCTTTTCCAGAGGCAGCAGACGCCCCTCCACCTCGCCGCAGAGCATGCCAGGCAGGACATAGCGGAGATGCTCCTGGCTGCGGGCGTTAACTTACACCTGAGAGATAAGGTACTCTGCTCACAGCCAGCCTCCCTTCAAGTTTCCATGGCCCCTGCTGTCAGGGCTTCCCTCCTTTACAGACCACCTCGAATGCAGCTTCCTCCAGGAAGCCTTCCTGCTCCATTTCTTTCCCCTGCCTCCTCGGAGGGCCCTCAGCCCTGGGCCCTCCTGTTCCTGTTCTCTAGGCCTAGGATGTGGTAGCCTCTGTTTCCTGGCCCATCAGACTCTGGGCAACTTAAGTCACAGGTCCAAGAGTGGGGAGCTTTTCAGCACATCATGCCGATGGGATGACTATGTCCTCAGTTGCTGGAGGTCTGAGAAGAGTAAAGACTTAGTATGAGGCCTCTGAGAGGAAGGCTATTTGCAAAAGCCCTTGATGCGGACTCAAGGGTCCCAGGTTCGATTTCGGTCAAGGGCATGTACCTTGGTTGCAGGCACATACCCGGTAGGGAATGTGCTAGAGGCAGCTGATCGATGTTTCTCTCTCATCGATGTTTCTAATCCTCTCATCGATGTCTCTATCCCTCTCCCTTCCTCTCTGTAAAGAATCAATAAAATAAGGCTCTTAGGATTGGCTGAGGAGGGTTGGGCAGGACCAGGTTCTGAGGCTGGACCTGGGAGGGGCTCCCTGCTTTGAGCTGGGCCTTTGGGGAGCTAGCCATCCCTGTGGGTGGTTGAGGCCAGCGCTGATTGGGAGGCCTGGATCAAAGGGCTGGGAGCATATGGGGAAGTAGGCAAACTTGACTCAGTGAGCCCAAGCCCCTTCTCTGGGCTCTGGTTGCATCTGAGGAATGGGGCTGGTACCCCGTTTCTCAGGTGATGCGGCAGTGCTATGCAAGCTGCATTCCCTAAGCACCCAGGCTCCCTAAATTCTAGAGAACACGTAGGTGGTGGCTGGAATGATTATTATTGCTTATTCTACCTGTGACTCTCCCATCTCCCTCCTCATGACCAGAAAGCCTCCCTACTCTCCAGGAAGAAGGGTAGATGGCTGGGAACCACTTTTTTTGGGCGGCAGGATTTGTAGTCCCCGTTAGAGGTCACTTTACACCCCTCCTGTAGAAACTGGCTCCCCTCCTTGCTTCTGGTTGCAGCAAGGGAAAACCGCCCTGGCCGTGGCCGCCCGCAGCAACCACATCAGCCTGGTGGACATGATCATCAAAGCTGACCGCTTCTACCAACGGGAGAAGGTACCAGGGCCCTGCACAGAGGGAGTCACTGGGGCTCCAGGTGGACTGGGCTTTGACTCATTCAGGGGCCCCTCAGTTTCCCAGGCGGCAGTAATCCCTGCCTCACCTCCCACCGGAGAGGTTTGTGAGAGTTCCCACACCAGTGTGAAGAGACCGCAGGACGCTGCGATGGCTCCTGGTTAGGGGGTGAACAGAGGCGTGTGTGCCGGTGTGAGCAAAGAGATGGCTGGCTGGTTCTAGATCGCTGCCATCTCCGGGTGATTGGAATGACTGCTTGGGATGTTGTATTCAGGAGGAAAGTGTGCTGGGAGTGATTGGTGATGTCTGCTGTGGAACTGGGAGGGAAGGTAGCTGATGTAAGGCCAGGCAGGCATTTGCTGTTCTAGTTGCCAGCAAGTGGGATGGGGCAGGGTTTTTGGTTTTGGTGTCTTTGAGGGTTGTTTATATACACAGAAAATTATTTTTTACATTTACTTCCATTTTAAAAAGTAATTTAAAAGTAATTTAAATTTATTACAACTTTTAAAAAACAAATTTTCTGTAAGTTTTAAGTTTATTTTATAAATCTTGTTATTCTATTTATGCATCCCAGTAAATATGAATAGACACTTTCAAAGAAGCCTTTTGATTATGTATGAATTTAGTCAATTAAACTATTGTAAACATTTTAAAGTGAATGAATACATTTAATATAATAGATTTTCTTTTCACGCACTTCAAATGCTTCCTCAATTTAAAAATTATCCTAGTAAACTCAATAAGTTAAACCCGTGGTCAGCAAACTGTATCTCTCGAGCAACACGTGACTCTTTGGCCCCTGGAGTGTGGCTCTTCCACAAAATACCACGGCCTGGGCGAGTCTATTTTGAAGAAGTGGCATTAGAAGAAGTTTAAGTTTTGAAAAATTTGGCTCTCAAAAGAAATTTTCATCATTGTACTGTCGATATTTTTGGCTCTGTTGACTAATGAGTTTGCTGATCACTGAGTTAAATCTATAAGTAAAGTGAATTTCATTCAAATAGCATTCCAATATTGTTTACAAACTTAGTAAACTTCTCTACTCCTCTCAATTTAAAAAAAAAAATCACTATTCCACATCAGTTGGTGGATAACCAATTTCAATAGGAATCATGAGATACTCTTTTTCACTGACTTTACAACAGACGACCCCTAAATGTAAGCCCAGGATATTAATATGAAGGGTTCGAAGAGTGGTTTGTTTATGTGCTTAATGCTAAACCACATCAATCTTTATTTTTTTAAATATATTTTATTGATTTTGTACAGAGAGGGAGAGAGACAGAGAGTCAGAAACATCGATGAGAGAGCATCATTGATCAGCTGCCTCTTGCACACCCCCCACTGGGGATGTGCCCACAACCAAGGTACATGCCCCTGACCGGAATCGAACCCGGGACCACTCAGTCCCCAAGCCGACGCTCTATCCCTTGAGCCAAACCGGTTTCGGCCCACATCAATCTTTAAAGCTCTCAACTCTAGGGCAGAGGTGCAGTTAGAATCATGAATCCCCCTCTTCCCTCCCCCTCCACCCGCATTCCCCACCCCACCCCCAGGCCAATTCAACCAGAATCTCTGGCTGGGGATGAAGCTCAGTAGTCCCTAAAGCTCCCAGATGGTCCGATGCACGAAGATGCCCCTGAGAACCCCGCTCTAAGAAATGGCTTCTTACCACCAGGGTGAGAGCCACGCTCCCCGGTCCTCCCCTCACAGGCGACTGGCCAGACCCTGCTGACCGGGAAGCAACACGCAGACACCGGGGGGACCTTTCTCACCAGGAGCTTTTCCACAACCGGAACCCTGGGTCCCCTTCCTTCAGAGGGGCTCGCAGAGGCCTCTGTGGGTGTGTGCTGTTGTGTGATCCTTTGTAACCTCTCACTTTATCACTGGCTTCACGTAGAGAGGATTCTGTCACCTCCAACTTGACTGCTTGTTGGCATGTGGCAAGCCCAGCGCCTTGTTTGGTGTTAGCCACCACTGCTGAGTCACCCTCCTGCCAGCTACACCACGGAAAAGCAGAGAAGAGAGGCATCGGGAGCCTTCCTGAGAGAGGTGGCATTGGGGTGGCCTTTTGACGGTGGCCAGGAGCCTGAGGGACAGGGAGGTGAGGAAGGACTCAGGGACGGAGGAGCCGTGTGAGCAGCTCGGTCCCAGAGGCCCAGGCAAGCCATCGAGGCGGAGAGAGACCAGAGTAGCAGCCAGGAAGCCCCCAGTGGCAGCGACACCGGTTCCCAGATCCCGGCCCGGGATCACGAGGGAGGGCCTGGCGGGGATTCCCCCAGAAATCCCTGTTGCCCTTCTGGCATCTGCCCACAGGACCACCTGCCCCTCAGGGACCCCGGTGACCTCGCGGGGAAGAGCGTGACCTTCAAGCAGGACCACCGGCAGGAGACGCAGCCGCTCCGCGTCGCGCTGTGGCGCCTGGCCTCCCGGTACCTGCGGCCCCTCGAGTGGAGGAAGCTGGCGTATGGCTGGGGGTTCACCGAGGCCCACGTCCACGCCATCGAGCAGCAGTGGACAGGTACCCCTGGCCTTGGCACCCGGGCACCCAGCAGGGGGAGGGGGAGGGCTCCTGTTCCCTGTGCTTCTGCGGACAAAGCCTGTGCCACCCACGGCCCCGCCACGGGAAGCCTCCTGCCCTTGCCAGCACACGGCGGGCTCTTTCCCACTCGCCCAGGCCTTTGCCCAGCGTGCCCGCTGCTCTCCCCTCCCCATCGCCCTGTGAACGTCACATTCTCCGTGAACCAGCCGGAGCTGATGCCAACGGTCCATACAGGAAACTGAAGGCACTCCCAGTAAAAAGAAGAGGAGCTGCTGTGACCGCTATTACCTAACACCGTGGTCAGCAGACTGCGGCTCTCGAGCCACATGCGGCTCTTTGGCCTCTGGAGTGTGGCTCTTCCACATAATACCACGAGCCTGGGCGAGTCTGTTTTGAAGAAGTGGCGTTAGAAGAAGTTTAAGTTTAAAACATCTGGCTCTCGAAAGGGATTTCGATCGTATGGTTGATATTTGGCTCTGTCGGCTAATGAATTTGCCGACCACCGATCTCACCCAACCAGACTCAAGCATTATAAAGTTAAAATAACTAACATAGACCCCTGACACAAAAACATGCAAACCAGTTAGTGGACAAGAGCAGGGTATTCAAAAGTAAACTTTTCCACAGACAGGAGCTGTCATAGCAGATAGAGGGCCCTGGGGGCAGAGGCTAGAGAACAGATGGGTCGGGTTGATGAAACTGCCGCCCGAGGGCAGCCCCGAGGAAGTGCCTGCCGAGGGCCCCAGGGGAGAAAGGGCAGACACAGCGGAAGGACTGACCTGCACCCAAGGCTGGCCCGCCATCGCCCTGCCTGGGAGAGCAGCCCGAGTCACAGAGAATGAAACAAGTCAGTCCCACCGCCAGCATTGAAGGCGTGAACACTTATTTCCAAACATGGCTGTGCCTGGGGGTCACCTGGGAAGCGGGAACACCTCTCAGCGCCCGGGCTGCGCCAGATCCAGGCTGTGGGAAGCCGGGGGAGCGGGGGAGCCTGGTGTCGATAGCTCCTAAAGCTCCCCAGGCGCTCCCAGGGGCACAGCGGTGGGAACCACTGAGGCCGGCAGAGAACCTGGCCAGCTCGGACTCTGGCGAAGCCGGCTTCTCACCGAGCAGGGCCGCTGGCGGGCAAGGCCCAGATGGTCCTGCAGCCAGAGGTGAAGCCGGCCGCCTTGTGCATCCTGTACCACAATGAGCGCCAGTTCTCTCTTCAGGGTGACACCAACAGTCTTAGCCGGTCTGGCCCAGTGGATAGAGCTCCAGCCTGTGGACTGAAAGGTCCCGGGTTCGATTGCGGTCAAGGGCATGTACCTTGGTTGGGGGCACATCCCCAGCGGGGGTGTGTGTGCAGGAGGCAGCTGGTTGATGTTTCTCTCTCATGGATATTTCTAACTCTCTGTCCTTATCCCTTCCTCTCTGTAAAAAATCAATAAAACATATATTTTTTAAAAAATAGTAAGAGTGACACCAACAGCATGCGTGCTGGATGCTCAGGAGGAAGCCTGGGGCTGGGAGGTTCAGGGTCCCCGACCCAAAAGCTCCACCTGCACCCCATCTGAGGCTGCTCTGCCCCCCCCCCCCCAGCAGAGGCGGCTGGTGTGCCGGAGGCAGTCAGAGCAGCCTAGACACGTGCTTAGTCCGGCTCCTGCTATGAGGGCCAGGTTGGCTCCTTTCCCTTTTCCCTTTCTCCTTCCTGGCCCCAGGCACCAAGAGCTACCGGGAGCACGGCCACCGGATGCTGCTCATCTGGCTGCACGGCGTGGCCGCAGCGGGGGAGAGCCCCGGCAAAGTGCTCTTCGAGGGCCTCGTGGCCATCGGCCGGAGGGACCTGGCTGGTAAGAGCGCCCCCTGCCAGCTCCTGCTCAGGGCAGCGCCCGGCCCGGGTCAGAGCAGCGTGGCCCCCCCTGGACTGCTGACCCCCTTCCGAGGCTGCTCAAACCACGTGCCGTGGCCCCGGCTCTGAGCCTCCCAGATTCCTGGTCCCGCTCGGCCTCTCTGGACACAGGTGAGGCCGTGAGCAGTCAGCGCCTCCTGGCCCGGGTCTCCCCACCTGTGCACGACGGGCGTTGTCCCTATGAGGTTCACAGCCCCAGAGCCAGGGGTGCTGCCATCTCTTCCTCCCCAGCCTGCTATACTCAATCCTCCCCACCCCCACCGCCATCCCCCCACCCCAGGTTGGAATAAAGCAGGAACAGCCTGCAGAGTTTTTTTGTTTTGTTTTGTCATTTTGTTTTATTTTTCTTTTACAAACATTAAGACATACGGGCCAGAACTGGCTTAATATGAGTTGAGCCAGTCAGAATTCAAAATTCCCAATGCCATCCCAACTTTTGAATTCCACCTTATTAAACAAAAAAGGATGAAACAGCCGAAACCGGTTTGGCTCAGTGGGTAGAGCGTCGGCCTGCGGACTGAAGGATCCCAGGTTCGATTCTGGTCAGGGGCATGTACCTTGGTTGTGGGCACATCCCCAGTCGGGGGGGGGGTACAAGAGGCAGCTGATCGATGATTCTCTCTCATCGACGTTTCTAGCTCTCTATCCCTCTCCCTTCCTCTCTGTGGAAAATCAAATATATATATATATATATATATATATATATATATATATTAAAGGATGAAACAAATGGAGCTTGTAATGAAGAAAAGAAAAAGAGAAGAGAAGAAATTGTCAGTCCCCAAAGCCTGGCTGGGTATTCAGGCATCCCATGGGACCGCCAGGCAGAGGGACAGCAGTTTCTAGCACCAACCCCCATTAGAAACAGGACCAGCTCTGGGGACAGAGCCCTCCACACTGTCACGGTGATGGGCGTGGCGCTTTACAGGAAACCACAGGACGGGGCACTGGGCAGTTGTCAGCAGCAGTGAGGGCTGTCCTGTGGCAACAGGACAGACAGAGCATGTTACCGAGGGAAAGGGAGAGCCCTGGCACGCTGGCCACTGCACAGCTGCCTCAGGCAGGGCAGGAAGAGAGTCGCTTCAGAGTGGAGGAACTGGGTATAAGTTTTTTCTTTCTCCAAAATGTTAAATATTACTGCTGCTCCTTCTTTGAACACAAATCCTGGCAGCCAGTGAACACCTGAAACCAGCCCTGAGGCAACCTGAGGCAACAGGAGTCTCGTCTTTTGCAGAAAGCATCCGGAGGGAGATCAACGCCGGCCCGCGCGCCCCCCGGAGGTGCACAGCCATGTGACCGGAGCGGCTGGACCTTCAGGAGCGGCTGGACCTTCAGGAGCTGCGGCCTCAGAGCGGGGACCACTGGACAGAAGACGACCACCATGTAAGGGCTTTAAAAAACCACTGTTAATCTCCAGCTGCTTTTATGGAAACACATCGTCAAGCAGGGCCAGCAGGCAAACGCTTGCAATTTCTTTCAGTGATTGGCCCAGGGCCTGCCTTGGGTTTTACAGGTAATTCCTCCCACAAGTGTGGTCCTTCGCATCTCTCAGCTCGCTTTCATCTCCATCAGCTCAGAGCCTCGCCGGGTGCGAGAGGCGTCTTGTCAGAGGACACGGTACAGGTTATCTGAGCAGCTAGTCAGGTAGTGAGGTCAGGCGCCCAGCCCAGCATTCCCGTCTCTCCACCTGGTGAAGGCTCCATCCATCACTTACAAAATGGACCGCCCTTCCCTCATGCCCTGGCTGTTAGGAATGCTGGGCTTGCTCACAGCTGTTTCTGTTCCCAGGTTGCTCTGTACGCGCTGACAGTCCCAGGAGGCACGCACTCTCATTTTTTTTCCCCTCTTGTAAAAATTCTTAAAGTTTTAAAACATTTTTGAAATCGTTTTAGACTTACAAAAATGTTGCAGAAACAAAACAAAGAATTTCCAAATACTCTTCACAATACAGTTTCCCCAAGTCTTAACATCTTACATAACCAGAGCATAATTTCCCAAACCAGGAAATGAACACTGATACAATACTGTCAGCTTATCTTCAGTCCTTATTCGAATTTAGTCAGTTGAGCCATTTTTATGGACCAGGATCCAGTCCAGGATCAATTTGTGTATTTAGTTGTCATTTTCATTTAAAAAAAAAAAAAAAAAAATATATATATATATATATATATATATATATATATATATATTTTTTTTTTTTTTTTTTAATTGATTTCAGAGGGGAAGGGAGAGGGAGAAGAGATGGAAACAACAATGACATGATTGATCAGCCACCTCCTGCACGCCCCCTACTGGGGATTGAGCCCACAACCCGGATATGTGCCCAAACCAGAATCTAACCGTGACCTCCTGGCTCATAGGTTGATGCCCACCCGTGGAGCTACACTGGTCAGGCAACATTCTCATTTTTACAGCCCCAATATGAAGACTCACCTCTGTGGAGCAGCTCTATTCCACCCAGCTTTCTGCAATGATAAAAATCTGTGGCTACAGTTTACCTGCCACTCGCTACCTGTGGCCACTGAGCACTTGCAATGTGGCAAGTGGGACTGAGGAACTGAGTTTTAAATTTTACTTAATTTTCATTATTTGAAATTTAAATAGGCACCCGTGGTAAGGGGCAACCATATTGGACGGCACAGCCGGTCTGGAGATTCACTTTCAGGTGACAGGCAAGCACGGGCCATTGTGCAGCTCAGCCACGCCAGTCCGCCAGTCGAGTGTGGCTCCAGGGAAAAGGGACTTAGGAAGCATCAGGTTTCACAGCAGGTGGAGGGCATCGGCGCTGGGAGCCAGGCGTTCTGCCTGCCACTCTTTCTAATTCTAGCTCTTTTGCATGTGGCACAACTGGTGATGGTCAGTGGGGAGCCCACATCTTAGAAAAACTCCTCAGGAAGTTACCCTTTGGGCCCGAGTCCTGGGAAGGAGAGTGGACAGAATCTGTTGGAGCTGAAAGGGTTTCAGTGACCACACTCGGCCATCCTCTGAAAGGCATGGCGGCCTTATCTCCCAGAATTACAGGAACATTCCCCTTCACCCAGCCACCCCACATCTAGGCATGTACCCCACAGAGAAACCTGCAAACCCCATGCTAACACTAATGCAGACTGACACCGGGGAAACTGTGCTGTGGAGAGGGGAATGTGGGAAACCTGTGCTACCTGCTGTTTTTTATACTGTTTTAAAAATTAAGTCTATTAATTAAACAAACAAAATCCCACAAACTAAACATTTTGAAAAGAGAGGCTTTGGCCGAAGCCGGTTTGGCTCAGTGGATAGAGCGTCAGTCTGCGGACTGAAAGGTCTCAGGTTCAATTCCGGTTAAGGGCATGTACCTTGGTTGCGGGCACATCCCCAGTAGGGGCTGTGCAGGAGGCAGCTGGTCGATGTTTCTCTCTCATCGATGTTTCTAGCTTTCTATCCCTCTCCTTTCCTTTCTGTAAAAAATCAATAAAATATATTTTAAAAAGAAAAAGAGAGGCTTTGAAGCCAGCCCATTTTACAGGCAGTTGCCTGGTGAGAGGTGTGTCTTGCCAGAGGCCACACAGTTCACATGGATCAGATCCCAGCAGAGCAGGCAGGCTCCGGGCTGCCCCCCCCCCCCCCCCCCCCCCCGTCCTCCGCATGGAAAACCCTCCTCTGCCATCTTCCATTTGGGAAAGGTATTTTGTACCACATGGGACTGAGGTCATTTATCTGAATGGATTTTGCACAATTAATTTTGTATGTTTTTTGAGACAAAAAAAAAATAGCAAGTTCTTAAAATAAAATTGAAATGTTGAAACATCTCTCAAAATCAATACTCGTTTCTTTTGTGTGGGAGACCTATGGTGACATTTCAGAGGAGACAAGCTGTTGTGGACTGGTTCTGTGTAGCCACAGCCGGTCAGCTCACCATCGGCAGTCAGTACTGACTGTCTTCCGTGCCAGGCAGTCTGCTGGGAGCCGGGGGGGCTGTGCCGAGTAGTCCTGTTCCCGCCTCTGGAAGCTTGTGGTCTGGGTGGCGGACGAAGGGGCTCACATACCAATAATGTCATACAGTGCGGTTGGTGCTTGAATGGGTATATGCAGGGACTATGGGATTTAGTCCTCCTTGGAGAAGGTAAAGGGAGGAAGGTGAGAGGCTCACAGAGAAGATAGAAGTGGACAAAGCACATTCCAAGCGAAGAGCAGTCTATGCGATGGCACGGAGGTGTGGAGGTGTGTCTGTCTGAGAACGGTGTGGCCGGGACCCAGGAAGCATGGGAGGGGAGAGGAGGGGAGGGGAGGGGAGGGGAGAGGAGGGGAGGGGAGGGGAGGGCAGGGGAGGGGAGGGGAGGGGAGGGGAGGGGAGGGGAGTTGTGCTGGAGGGGCAGGTGGCCCACGGCCGGGTGTGCAGAGGGTGGGCTTTTTAGCCCTCGATCAGACGACTCCAGGGGGCACTGGTATCCCCGGAGCGCCCTCGTCAAGATGCCCATTCCTTCTTCCTTCCACAATCTTCCTTCTTTTGATCTTTAATAAGCATCTTGCTCTCGATGTTTCATCTCAGCATCGGCCTCGGCCTGAGGTATGGAGGTGGAGATGTGGCGATGGGGTCGGAGATGGCTGTTTCCAGCTGGGAAATCTGAGGAGCAGTGGTGTTGGGAACTGAGATGATGGGGTTTGGGAGAGAAGGGGCAGGTTTGGGCAGTGGGGACATGGGTGTAGCTTTAGCCAGGAGAGTCAGGGGTGCCTGTAGCAGACTGGCCTAATAGAGAGTCCTGGATAAGCATTCAAGGCCAGCACTCAAAATCAGTCAGGGCGGGAAATGGCAGTCATTAACGGGGAGAGCCAGGGGAGGCACGGCTTACAAAGGGCGAATTTGAAGAGCGTGGAGGGCAGCCCTGGTTCATCATGGCACCACGTGAGGAAATGCTGCTGACCACGTGCAGGCTGGCCCTGCCCACAGTCCCTCTCTGTTTGTTGGGAAGTCGAGACACACCCAGTGAAACTACGGCAGCCTCAAGGAAGACTCACTGCTCACAGAAAAGGCAAGCCCTGCCTCTACAGCTTACAGACTGCTTCCCCAATTCACACCCGCTGTCAAATCATGAGGCCCTCAGAGGAGACACTGCGCTTCTGTGGACAGATCACGGGCTTTAGGTATGACCCAACCTTCCTGTTGACGCCCAGCAAATCTCTCCACCTCTCCAAGACTCTGTGACTGCGCCTGTAAAATCAGTTTAAAATCGGAAAAAGCCGCCAAAACCGGTTTGGCTCAGTGGATAGTGCGTCGGTCTGCGGACTGAAAGGTCCAGGTTCGATTCCGGTCAAGGACATGTACCTTTGTTGTGGGCACATTCCCAGTAGGAGGTGTAAAAGAGGCAGCTGATTGATGATTCTCTCTCATCGATGTTTCTACCACTCTATCCCTCTTCCTTCCTCTCTGTAAAAAATCAATAAAATATATATTTTTTAAAAATCTGAAAAAGTAGGGCCAACTTAGTATTCTGAAAACTTAAAGGCAAAGAAACATGAATGCTGATTTTTTTGGTCTAAATTGTAACTCAGAGAAACCAAATAGTTAATGAGGCAAAGTCATAGTTGTTTTTTGTTTAATCAGTGAACTCCAGTTAACGAGTGCAGAAGGAATAAACATTGGAGCACTGTCGCTGTCCTCAGCCCCTGAAGAAATGATGCTTGTGTGCAATGATCAGCAGTGGCAGCTGAACCATCGGGGGGATTTCCAAGGACTGGATCCGGCTGACAAGGAGCAATCTTAAGAACTTAGACACAGAGAGACACTGCGTACCTCCTCAAGTTCCCAACAGGAAGCACACACCACCTGTGAAGCATTCCCACCAAAAAGAAGGAGCTCAGGCCTCTACATGTAACTATATATCAGTTTATGGGAAATGCCAGGGACAGAAGTTAAAGGACATGCGAGTTGCCATCAGACAGATCCAGACGGTGGGGAATTCTATAGGGCAAACAAGCCTATTTCTTCAACAAGCAAACAGCAAGAAAAAAATAGAGGGCAGAGGGAATTATAGTTTAAAAGAGATATAAGAGACATTTCAATCAAATATAAAGCGTGAACTTTGTATGGAAGCTGATTAGAACAAGTCATTCATAAAAGGACCTTTATGAGGTAGTCATGAATGGGAATATTGACTAATGATATGAAGAAATTACTGACGAACTGCTAAATGTGTTAATGGCATTATGGAAACACTTATAAAATCATATGGTATCAGAAATTACTTTAAAATAACCCAATGACAGGAATAGGTGTGGAAGAAGGGCTGGTGGGATAAGAGATGACAGAGCCCTGTCCATGACTGTATAATTTTTGAAGCGAGGTGAGTGGGACATGGTTCATTATGTTATTTTCTCTACTGTATGTGTATTTAAAATTTTTTCATTAAGGAAGGAAAAAGGTCTGAAAACTACCTGGTACAGAGTAGCAGATCAATAATGATAGCTACTGTTATTTTACACTGAGCAAACTGTGCTTAAGAGAGATTAAGTAAGTTACCTCAAGTCACACTGAATTGGCAAATACCATAGTCTTGCTTTTCAGAAAGTCCTATGTCTGTGTAGCCCGATACAGTAATCATAAAAGCCACCCACTGAAATTGAATTTTTATTCCAAATGACTGTAATGGCTAGAAAGACAACAGCTAAACCTCAAAACAACTTGCATAACTGGAATTGCAAGTAGGTGGCCTGCAGGAGAGTAATCGGTGTGGTGACAACCTTGGCACTTTGGTTAACAGTTATAACAAGACAGCACAGAAACAACCAATGTCCTTCTGATACACAATCTGGATGTGCAGTATCTATAGCAAATGATATAAAAAGGAAGAAAGGAAAGAAGAAGAAGAAAAAAAAAAAAGACAAGGAAAAACGCCCACAAAATTCCAAACCTCAGAGAGTAACATTCACATAAGTACACAATGGTGAAGACTTTTGGTAGCAAAATTGTCACAATTCTTAAAACGGGAGTCTTCAAAGGTTCTTCGTCAAATTCAAAAGCTAGAAACCAAAGAGGGACAGTCGCACTGGCTCAGAAGAGCTGCCGCCCGTCACAAAGGTGACCGTCAGTCCTCCTTCCGAACAGCGGTAACGGGCGAGCCCGCCGAGCGGAACGGAGGCTGGCTGGCGGGCGGGCACTGATGTCACCGACGGAACAAGAACCTGCTGGGCACTCGCCAAAGCGCCAGCTACTGCTCCTCCTCGCTGAGGCCCAGGCTGCCTTCCTGCACCTCGAGCTCCGCGGCACTGACCATCGATGGGTCGATGGCGGCGTATTTGGTTCCATGGAACTGCAGCAAATGTATCTGCAGAAATGCAGAATCGCTGTTTTAAATGTCGCCAGGGTATGTAAATGCCTGTACCTCTAAAATCAGAATAACACCTACTAATTAGAGAAGAATCGGAAAACACAGAAAAGTCAAAAGAGCGTTTTTAAAAACCAGTTTGGGATCTTGGCTCCTCATTTAATATGTAGCCAGTCTCTCCAAGTTCCTACAAACTCTCGGTAAACATCTGAAGTGGGGCCTGCTGCTCCGCGAGCAGGGGTTCGCCCTCCCCTCCGCTGCTGCAAGGCAGGGCCGTCCCGCCTCCGCTGCGCTGCCTGGCACCTTGCTGACTGTCTCTGGGCGTCAAGCTTTTCTGTATTTAGGGCCCTCTCCTTAGGATCCATTTCCACAAGTGGATGGATGACAGGATCAAAGGACGTGACTGTTGTTGTTTCTAAAGGCTCTTAATACTTCCTGCCAAATTGTCAAAAACTATCATATCTCACCGATATTCTAATACCCATTTAGGCAGAGGATGAAGAGGTGCTGTATTGATAGATGAAATTTGTTAATTTTTAAGAAATGCATTAAAAATAGATCAAGAAGTCACTTCGTGGGACTCAGATTGACCCCAGGGAGACCCGGTGTCCTGCTCTGACTGACCTCATCGTGCCCAGGAGGCAAGGTCACACCCACCAGGAGGTGCTTCAGCGCGTAGAGGCGGGTGGGCCTGCTGTTCTTAGAAGAGGGAGGTGGCCGGAGTCACCTGGGGATCTCTACTATATCTGCTTAAATTATCCTATAACTTATTCATGCAAACGGGCTTTATTGAATCAATGCCTCAGTCCTACAGGGAATTCTATAGCTCTCTTACTCCACAGGAAAAGAAAAGGCTTTATGCTTCCACCACGCCCGCGGTGGGCTCCGCGCTGGCGCACCTGCACGTAGAGGTTCACCTCGGCGCTCCGGCACAGGTACGGGAAGTTGCCCCCCGTCTTCAGGTGGGCCCTCCGGGCGCTGGGGTACAGTTTGTACATTTCTTCTTTCGCTTCGGTTGAAAGTGCACTCTGGTCAAACACCTTTTAAAAAAAGGCAAGGTTGTGACCTACTGGTAATTGAATATGTTCTTTTCACATCATGGAAAGCGCCGTCCCAGGCATTTCTTCCCGTGAAGAGACACTGCTGACCCCGGTGCAGTCAGGGCCACCTCCTCCTGCTGGTCCCCAGTGACTCCAATCCAAGGTAAGACATTAGCCATAGATTTTGTGCCAAATGTCTCCTGCATTCTTTTTTTTGGGGGGGGGGGAGGGGAAGAGGGAAGGGAAGGATGGGGAAGGGGAGGAAATTCTTCTATGGATTTCCTTTTTCCTCAAACATAGCTAACTAAATTAACAGAATATTAATAGTGAACAATCATTATTGGAAAATGCCAGTTAATTTAAAAAAGACTGTAAAACCCTAAAAGAACTTTAAAATTTTACTATTAGTTAATAACAACTATATAAGTAGTATATGCTCAGTAGAAAAAAAAAATCCAAATTTTTTTTACAAGTATGAGGAAAAGTCCAGTTCCTCCCCTGGGGATGGGGGAGGGGGGGGCATTGCTAACAGTTTGGGGCATATGATTCTAAACATTTTTCAATGCCCACACAAACCGATGTTGATACACATATGCAAAAATGTTTTTCAAAAGTAATTTAAAAGAAATTAAAAAAATGCATCTCATCTTGCTAAAGCTTAGAGACAGTTTTCAGTAACCATGTACCCAAGTGGTGGGCAGTTCTAAAAGATGAGCAAGCAGATCAAATGCACCATGAGGAGCAGATATTCCACCGAGAGTACTTAAAGGTTGCTCAGTGTCATGGTGAATGTCAGAATGTAGAAATTTCAGTGGAAAATGAAAAGTTATCATGCTTATCATGAATAATTTTCTGACAAAAATCAACTTTTTAAAATACCCTGTTATTTGAATTTAAGAATAAATCTATTTTTAAGGCAAGACAGTTATATAATATTTTTAAAAAAGTATAAACCAAGCTCTAACAAGTTTGGCCCAGTGGATAGAGTGTTGACCTGCAGACTGAAGGGTCCCAGGTTCGATTCCGGTCAAGGGCATGTACCTGTGTTGTGGGCACATCCCCAGTGGGGAGTGTGCAGGAGGTAGCTGATCGATGTTTTCCTCTCATCGATGTTTCTAACTCCCTATCCCTCTCCCTCTCCCTTCCTTTCTGTAAAAAATCAATAAAATATATTTTAAAAAAGTATAAGCCAAAACCACAATAAAATGCCACTTCATAGCCACTAGAATGGCCAATATCAAACAACAGAAAATAACAAGTGTCAGTGAGGACATGGAACAACTGGAACCCTGGTGCACTGCTGGTGGAAATGTAAAATGGAACAGTCCCTGTGGACAATATCGTGGCGTCTCAGAAAGCTAAACACAGAGTTACCACATGACCTCAGCAATTCCACTTCTAGGTATATACCCAGAAGAATTTCAGTACAGACTCAAACAGACATTTGCACACCCATGTTCACAGCAGCATTATTCACAATCACCAAAAGGTGGAAACAACCCAAATGTTCATCTGCAGGTGAATGGGTGAATAAATGTGGTGTACACTTACAATGGAATATTACTCAGCCTTAAAAAGGAATGACATGCTAATACATGCTACGACCTGGCTACAGGGACTTGGGAGCAATGAGGAGTTACTGTTTACTGGGTACTGAGTTTCAATTTGGGATGATGAAAAGTTCTAGAACTAGATAATGGTGATGGTCGTACAACATTGTAAATGTACTTAATGCTACTGAACTGTACACTCAAAAATGGTCAATTTAATTTGTATAATTTACCATAACTCAAAAATATAAGGAATTTCTGCACTAATTAGACTTTATGGGATTCTTGATTTGCTGCTCTCCTGAGGCACCTTCTCTTTATGCCCAGATGTATAATAGCTAAAGTGTAATACTTATTGATAAGAATAAAAATAGCCGAAACCGGTTTGGCTCAGCGGTAGAGCGTCAGTCTGTGGACTGAAAGGTCCCGGGTTCGATTCCGGTCAAGGGCATGTACGTTGGTTACAGGCACATCCCCGGTGGGGGGTGTGCAGGAGGCGGCTGGTTGATGTTTCTCTCTCATCGTTTCTAGCTCTCTATCTCTCTCCCTTCCTCTCTGTAAAAAAATCAATAAAATATATTTTTTTTAAAAAAGAATAAAAATAAAAACACCAAAATGGGTAATAATTACCACGCTTGATTAAATTTATTCTGATTTTGATTGTGTTATCCCTGCCAAGAAAAATATGCGATAAGCAATAAACAGATTGTTTTGGAATTAAGGAAGCTTCAGAGATTTACACTTGATCTTAGCCAAAAGGCCGAGAAGCGATAGTTGAAGTGATTTAAAAAAAAATCCAAGCTGCCTTTGAAGAACATTGAGAAAATTATAAAATAATTATGAGGAGGATCTTGACATACACATTTAGAAAGATAAAGCATCTATTTCACTTAAAAGGAAGCTTACATCCATGATGGTTACAGGGATGTCCCGAATTTTATGAGGTTCCACGTAAGAATTTTGACAATTCAGGGTAAGTCTCGAAGCCAGTTCACTTTGACCCAAACTTTCCAGCTACGGAAAGAAACACAAGTAAAGTTTTTGAATTAATTTTGTTTTTCATATTTCCATTAAATCCACAGATAATATTTGTGCTTACAAAAAGGAGGGATCATATGTCAGGGAGCCAGGAAGGTCACTGCCAAGGAAACACATGTATTTGAGAGCCATCAATGAGGCGTCTCTGATGGGGGCATTTTTCTGTTCTGGGAACCTGGCTTTCCTAGTCTTCCACCTGCACTGCTTTTTCACTCCATGCCCATGGGCAGCAAGCCAGTTCCCGTAGCTCAGAGACAACAGAGAGCCCTAGCCAGTTCGGCTCAGTGGATAAATGGCAGCCTGATTGAAGGGCTTCAGGTTCGATTCCAGTCCAGGGCCTGTACCTCAGTGTCAGACTTAATCCCTGGCCCTGGTCAGGATACTTACGGGAGGCAACCTATCAATATCCATCTCACATCGACATTTCTCTCTCTCTCTCTCTCTCTCTCTCTCTCTCTCTCTCTTTCTCTCTTTCTCCTCCCTCCCATGCTACTTACCTCTCTTTAAAAAAATCGATGGAAAAAATATCCTCAGATGAGGATTAACAACAACAACAAAAAAGACAACAGATAAATATTTAGGAGATCTTAGAGGTGAATAAGACATCAGAAATATTAACTAGCCCAATGCAAGGCTAGTCCTGGGTGGGTAGCTCAGTTAATTAGAGTATCATCTGGATATGCCAAGTTAGGGCATATACAGGAATCAACCAATGAATACATAAATAAGTAGAACAATAAATTGATGTTTTTCTCCCTTCTTCTCTCTCTCTAAAACAATCAATAAATAAAAAATGTAAAAATCCTATATAATAAAGAGGTAATATGCAAATTGACCCTCACACCCTCACACAAGATGGTCACCCCCCATGCTGGTCAAAGATGGCCACCACAAGATGGCCAGCAGGGCAGGGTAGTTTTAAGCAACCAGGCCAGCTGGGGAGGGGAGTTGGGGGTGACCAGGCTTGCAGGGGAGGGCAGTTAGGGGCAATTGGGCTGGCAGGGAGCAGTTAGGCGTTGATCAGGCTGGCAGGCAGGCGAGCAATTGGGAGCCAGCAGTCCTTGATTGTGAGAGGGAGGTCCGACTGCCTTCCAGGATCAGGCCTAAACGGCCAGTCTGACATCCCTTGAGGGGTCCCAGTCTGACATCCCTTGAGGGATCTGTTTGGAGAGGGTGCAGGCTGGGTTGAGGGACAACCCCCCCCCCCACCCTATGCATGAATTTCATTCACTGGGCCTCTAGTCTATTATAAAAGTATAATATGCTAATTAGACAGGGCAGCTGAATAACCTTCCAGATGATCTTCCAGATGACCTTCAGGAGGAAGCCGAGGCTGCGAGGACCAAGCCCCTTGCACGAATTTCATGCATTGGGCCTCTAGTAAATAAATAAATGCAAGCCTATAGAGCTGCTACATCAGATTCACCTCAGGAAGGTAGGAGTGGGTAGTGGAATAAAAATACAGGAATTCCAGATCCCATGCCCAGGAATTTCAGTTTGATGGTCTGGAATCTATATTTTGAAAAAATCCCCACAATGATTCTGAGGAATTACCAGCAGTAATATCTTTTGGATATATTCATGTTAATATGAAAGGCTACTCAATAAGCACCTCTAATATATCCTCAATGAGACAGATGTTTCTTCAGGAACCAAGCAAACATGAAAACTCCCAGTATAAGTTGTCACCACCCCAATGCTACAATCCTTACCCTGTCCACCATGAAATCAATGGCATCAGCCATCACAGGGTCCACTGGGCCAGATGAAAAGTTTCCAAGAACTATTTTTTTTAGCATAAATGATGGCATCAGCCAAAAGCTGTAAAACAAAGACCTTATAATTTAAACTTCTAAGACTAGACATAAATAGCAAATATTTATTTAACCCTGAAGTGTTGTTGCTATATTAGCTACTTAGGATCTAGAGATAAAAAGACCTAGTCCCTCCTTTCAAAGTACTCAGCATCTTGTTTTTATATACACTCTCCCGAGCTCCCAAAGAATTATGTTTAATATGACTAAACTTTTGAGGACTTAAATAATTATAAGTGAGTAGTGGCTGGGTGCACAGATTTATGCACACTGAAAGGAAATTGATTAGAAAAAATATTTTAATATCGTTATTTTCCCTTTATAATAGAAGTGTCAACCAAATTCATGATTGACAATGACATATCAAAACACACATGTACAATTGGTGCCAGGGAGAGCTTTATATGTATTGCGCATGCGTGAGTCAACCTAGCCTTTTATAAATATAGAATAAACTTGCTTAATTGGACCAGTTTTCTGATTTAGTAAACCTTTTCTAACCCAGTGAAGCACCCCAACTTCTCTTTCAGGTAATTATCAGAAACACAGCAGTAAATATCAGTACAAAGCAGATTATTATTGTAGATCACACAGGGAGAAAAATATTTAACTGTAGCAGTGTTTGATTATATTATGTGCAATGAAAAAATATGAAGTCATTTTCAAGGTGCACCATTTCTTACTTCTTTTTAGTTGGCTCAAGTTTCTAAACTTTCTAAGTCTCCATTTCCTGGTAGGGCCAGACTAAATGACATTCCCCACCCTTGCTCTACTCTATCCATTTTGGGGAGCATATCTAAAGGAAGTAACCCAGAAAAGGAAGGAAAAAAGTAATTTGTACACAGATTTACAATAGAATAAGGTGAAAAATGAAAAGCCAAATGCCTAAAGAAACCACTTCAGTCAAACATAAAATCTTATATAAAAGGTTAATATGCAAATTGACCAAATGGTAGAATGACCAGTTGCTATGATATGCACTGATCATCAGGGGGCACTCAACACAGGAGCTGCCCCCTGGTGGTCATGTGCTCCCACAGGGGGAGCTCTGCTCAGCCAGAAGCCCTAAGCTGGGCTCACAGCAGGCAAGCACAGCGGCAGTGGCAGAGCCTGTCCTGCCTCCTCAGCAGCACTAAGGATGTCCAACCAACTGCCAGTTGGACATCTCCCAAGGGCTCCCAAACTGCAAGAGGGCGCAGGCCGGGTATAGGGACCCTCCCCCGCAAAGTGCACAAATTTCGTGCACTGGGCCTCTAGTGTTTACATAAAATAATAAGTGCAACATGTAGAACACAAGAATAGCTGCATGTACACTAAAGAGAAACTGTAAGAGTTTATGAATGCATATTAAACAAAGCTACACAATAATTTAGAGTAAATGAAATAGTTGAATTCAGAGTTCATTCAATTATTTTCTTTTGCAAAGATGACTATTTCTAATTTTAAAAGCCAGAGTGGTTTCAGAAGACAGAAGTAGAAATGAATTCCCTCGCTGGTACACCAAAAACACCCACAAAAGCCAACATTTCCAAAATTCCATTGAACAAAAATGGTAAACATTTTGGCCAAATGTTTATGTCCTTACCTGTTTGCAGTCCAAGTTTGATTAAAAATAGAGGTGTCACTGAAGGAATTGCAGAGGATGAGGGAATGGACTCTGGGAGATTTGTGAGTGTATTCAGCAAATTTCTGGGCCAAAAAGCCTCCCAAGGAAGCACCAAAAAGATGAACCTAATTGTAAACAAGCAAAGGGGGGTTTTATGACAATGATTAATCCTGGACATAAATATAAAAAACAGCACCACATTGTTTTAACTGTCACCAACCGAAGAAGAGAATGTCACTACTAGCTCACAGACTAAACTATTGCAGTTAGAATTTTAGGAAATATTGTAAATGCAATTTATGCACCCCTTGAAAGACAATACAACTGTGCATACATATCATACAAGTGAAAGAAATACTCTTCACAGATTACATTAGAAAATGAAACCACTTGGCAGTTTCTGTTTAGAAAACTATGACTCAGGCCTGAACTGTTGTGGCTCAGTGAATACGCATAGATCCAGGGACCAAGAGTTCACCAGTGCAATTTCCAGTCAAAGTACATGCCAGGGTTGTGGCTGGATTCCCAGTAAGGAATCTGCAGGGGGTGTGCAGGAGGTAGCTGATCGATGATGTTTCTCTCTCATCAGTATTTCTATCTTTCTATACCTCTCTCTTCCTCTCTAACTATCAATAAAAACTATTTTAAAAAACCCCAAACACTATGATTAAGTAATTCCACTCTGAAAACATGTCCACACCAAACTTGTACAGCATTATTTATAATAGCCAAGTATTCTGGAAACAATCCAAATGTACAACTAACAAATGGATAAACAAAAGGTGCTATATTCATAAATGGGATATTATTTGACAATAAAAAGAAATGAAGTACTGATACATGCTACAACATGGATGAACCTCAAAAACGTTATGCTAAGCTAAAGAAGCCAGTCAGGAAAGACCACATATAGTATGATTTCACTTAAACAAAACATCCATAACTGCAAATCCATAAAGACAGAAAGTAGAGTAGCTTGCCAGGGTTAGGTGGAGGGTGGGTAAGGAGTGACTGCCGAGTATGGGGTTTCTTTTTGGAGTGAAAAAAGTGTTCTAAAATTGACTGTGATGATGACTGCAGATATCTGTACATATGCTAAGAATCTTTGAATTATAGACTTGAAAAGGGGTACACTGTATGGTATGTGACTTTTATCTTAAAAGACCTTTTATTTAAAAAATAAGAGAAAAACAACACCAGACTTTATAATGCAAATGTTGCTTTAAAGTCACACGTAAGAAATTAGTTTCATGGTACTCACTTTATCCAATTGTAAGTGGTCTAAAAGCTTTCTGAATCCATCACAGAATTCAAGATGGTCCCAATAAACTGGATATTGCAACTGAAATAATAAAACAATTTATTATTTTATAACTGATAAAAATTTAGGACTCTCATAGCATTTCTCAGTTGTTCAAGTTTTGCTCCTTATTCAAAATATGTGAAAATATGTTTCTCACCTTTTCCTAAATTTCAAAATTCACATTTTATCTAACAGACCAATTTTAAGAAGAATAAAAAGTAAGGACATTCTAGTGATATTATGTGAATAACAATTTCAACTTACATCAATTTCCTTTCCAAACAGCTGAGAAACTTTGAGGTTCAAAGGTGCATGGATCAGAACCCATTCAAGTAAAGAAATACTGTTTCTCCTTACATCTAAATTCATTCTGAGTTATGGCTCAGGAGAGCTAGGAACAAAATCTGTTCTAAGGAGAGCTCCCTCTCTTTTGTGTAGTATTTCTTTAAGGGAGCATTCAATAAAATTGTTCCTTTTTTTTTCAATTGACTTAGTCTGTATAATTTCTTGAACTTTTTATTTTGTGACCAAAAAAGTATGGTGCTTGACCCTAAGTCACCCATCTATTAATGCTGATGATGAAGAGGGAAAAAAAAAAAAAAAAAAAAAATATATATATATATATATATATATATATGCACAAGTCACTAACTCTTTTCTAGGGAACTCAGGCTTGTCACCTAATAATTCCCTCTCTTTAATAATATGTAAAACCCATCTGACAGGCTTGTTGTTTTAAGTACTTACATGCATTTTTGTCATTAATAAATCATTAGAATAAATACTGCCATGTAAATTATGGGATCATTTCAGATTTGATGTACTTTTAAATTTTGTGTTACTTTTACTATTTTAAAATTCTATTTGTGGATAAGATTCTACTATTTCAAGATAGCATGGAGAACAGACTCTTCCTAGCAGAAAATTGAGAATTTGAATAAGATGATACTCTAAAAAAGAGATGAGAGAGAGGAAGGGGGGAGGAGAGAGAGAGAGAGAAACATTGGGGGGGGAGGGGTAAACGAGAAGGGGAGGGAGAAAGAGAGACATTGGTTGGCTGCCTCCCATACAGGATTGAACCTGGGACGACACTCCAACCAGCTGAGCCAGTGAATAAGAGCATCACCCTGCAGACTCAAGGGTCCCAGGTTCGATTCCGGTCAGGGGCATGTACCTTGGTTGCAGGCACATCCCCAGTAGGGAGTGTGCAGGAGGCAGATGATCGATGTCTCTCTCTCATCGATGTTTCTGACTCTCTATCCCTCTCCCTTCCTCTCTGTAAAAAATCAATTAAAAAAAAAAATATATATATATATAGCTGAAACCGGTTTGGCTCAGCGGTAGAGCGTCAGTCTGCGGACTGAAAGGTCCCAGGTTCGATTCCAGTAAAGGGCATGTACATTGGTTGCGGGCACAAACCGGTGGGGGGTGTGCAAGAGGCAGCTTGTCGATGTTTCTCTCTCATCGACATTTCTAGCTCTCTATCTGTCTCCCTTCCTCTCTGTAAAAAATCAATAAAATATATTTTAAAAATAAATAAATAAATAAATATATATATATATATATATATATATATATATATATATACACACACACACACACACACACACACAGAAGCTTCCAGTCACCCAATGCTAGATCTCTTTGCTGCCTAGTATTCCATGCTCACCTTCCTGAAAGCAGTGATGTACTAAACGAGGAGGGGAAATGGAGTCAGAAGACTAAGTGTGGTTCTCCCTCCACCACCTGTTGGCTGTGTGATCACTAAAATGGCCTGGAGCCGAAACCGGTTTAGCTCAGTGGATAGAGCGTCAGCCTGCGGACTGAGGGGTCCCGGGTTCGATTCCGGTCAGGGGCATGTACCTTGGTTGCAGGCACATCCCCAGTGGGGGGCGTGCAGGAGGCAGCTAATTGATGTCTCTTTCATCGATTTTCTGACTATCTCTTTTCCTTTCTCTCTGTAAAAAAATCAATAAAATATATATTTTTTAAAATGGCCTGGACCTCAGTTTCTTCATCTATAAACAAGGACAATGCTTCCTACTGATCAGACTTGTGAGAAGAGGGTCAGGAGAGGATGCACAGAAAAGCTGCGAGAGCAGAACGCTTCCAACAGAGGTCTGTCCAAATTTCTGTATGTCTGTGTACCATACCACCTTCCTTCGAGAGGCTTCATCTCACATTTTATAAAAGAAAAACAGCACCTTGTCCTTCACTACAGTTGATCAGAAATATTCGATAGAAGCACAAAAACCCCCCACAAAATGTGGACTGGAACTGGAATACTGAATCAATAACACTTACAGCTATCACCCGGTAGCCCCATCCACTCAGAGCCAAAATCTGCTGGAAAAATACATCTGCAGTTCCGCTGACTGGGGGGAGAAATATGAGAGGACACCTAATATTTCTGGGACCTGCATCATACAGCGACCATATCTTACTGTCATCATCATCCACGATGATCTGGAAGGAAAGTAAAAAAAAAAAAAGGAAAGTCTTTCAGATTTGGTTTTTGTATTGTTAACTTCACACTGTAATTTTGCTGACAATTTTAATACCACTGCCTTGTTTGTTAAAAGGTAACCTGGAGGGAGGGGTCAGAGTAATACGTAAAATAAACTGCTTTGGTTTCCTTTTCCTCCTTTGGTGCTGAGGAACTATTCCACAGAACTGCTTTATAGTCCTCCAAAAAGCTGCTTTTTCTACCAGCTTTTAATTTTCCTTTCCGTCTATGATTATATGAAGTCTATTTTGTTAACCACTAAACAGTAAATTGTATATGGCATCTTGTTTCTTCCCTACACGTGTGTGTGTGTGTGGGGGTGTGTGCGTGCGTGTGCGTGTGCGTGTGCGTGTGCGTGTGTGTGTGCGTGTGTGTGTGTGTGTAGAAGGGCGGGTTGCAGAATCATTCTCCAGTGCTGGCCCAGAGGGCTGACTGGATCCGCAGGGTCAGAGTGTGAACGGGGGAGGCGAGGGAGAGGAAGACCAGGCTCTGGGGAGAGACTGGATAGAGATGGTTCCACTCAGGAGATGCTTCAGGAACCTGATCTAGAACAGCTTCCAAAGGCGAGACTTCTGCCAGAGAGGAGGGATAGGCAGGTGGGTGTCACTGTCCCAGGAGAAGGTTTCAAATCATTCCGTCGGGTGTGGGGAGTGGATACAGGAAAAACTGGCTTTTTTTGGGGGGAAAGTGGGTGGGAAGGAGGAAGGTCTTCAGAAAGCCCCCTGATTTAATGGTTCTCGACCCAACAGGGGAAAACGATGAGCTTTAAATGAGCTGAGATTATTCAAGCGCTCAGCAGAGTTTGGCAGATGCTCAGAGTTCAGTCAGTGTTAGATATTAGTATCATTCATTGCATATTAGTTTAACTTTTGTTTCCTTTGACTTTTGGTGGTATTTGGAAAAGCACAATAATGGTTTGAACTTTTGCCAATGCAAATCAATATTCACCCTACTTTCACATTAAGAAGTTCAAGGCCTCCAGGTCCGATTTTCTGAGGTCTCCCAGCTGACAGCGCTAAACCCCATGGTGTCACTCTGGCGGCAGCACACTGACCACGGTCACTGCCGTTACCGGGAGCAAAGGCCAGAGAGCCCAGGCCACAGGGGGTCACAACGGTGTCTCACACACACGTTTGTGTCCCATGTATTTTATTGCTCACACTTTCGCTTTTCATGCCTTTCTGCTGAAATTGTGGTAAAAATCTACCAATGGCTTTGACAGTGCACACAGTAAATCTCAATCTTATAGTAATAAAATTCATATGAGAAAAGATCTCTAAAGTTTTCTAGAAAATTATTTCCATAATCCAATTTGGAAGACAAATAACAAAAAATAGCATGTTCTTTTTTTTTTTTATTTCTCTCCCCACCCCCTCCCCAGTTTCACGGAGATATAATTGACATAGTATGTTCTAACTATAAGCCATAAACACAAAGGTTATTGATCACTTCAACTTCCTCGGAGTTCTTTGAATGGCAATTTTGTCAGAATTCCTTTAGAAGTCACAATATCTGCTTGATAATTTAAAATCTAGCACCGCAAAATTTATCAAGCACATTTATCGTGACTTTTGTGGGCCAAACTGACCTGTCAACTACAGAAAATCACATCAATAAAACAACCTTCTATCACTGCTCCTTAGACTATTTAGATGGGGTTGGGTTGTTCTGGGTCTGGTGACCGGCTTGTTAAGAGGTGCTCAGATGAGGTAAGCTGAGGGAGCGACAAAGTAGAGGGACTCCAGAGGCCATTTCTCCTTGTAGCGCGGGCAGTGGTTTCCCGGGTAGCACGAAGAAAGAGGGCTCCCTTTGGTAAACAGTCAAATACGTCCAGCTTTGAAGTCAGATTAATTTGATTTTAATCCCAACCCTACTAGCCTACAACAGTGCTCGGCACATAGCAGGCATGATCTGTCGACTAAATGAGTGACTATGTCCTAAGGAGACTGAACTAGGCAACCCTAGAATCCCTTCTAACTTGGGCAACCTTTAACTAACAAGCAAACCACTGTGAATCTCAGTTTTCTTATCTATAAAATGGGCACACCACTAGCCACTTTGCTAGACTATTGAAAAAAAATTAAATAAGATATCTGGGGACTTCCTACAACAGTGCCAGGTATGTAGCAGGTATTCTATCTATACTTGGAAAACTGTACCTCAAATTTTTATATGGAGAGTAATTTTGTTATTAATTCAAATTTGCATGATACTGATATTTCCACAGCTGTCTACCTTGACAAAATAACAGAGACATAGATGATCATCAGATCATAGGTTCTTAATACTTTTGCAAGGAGATAAGCAAAGATTTTATTCTGTGACATAAACAGCCCTTGTCTAATATGATTTCAAAACATCTAGGATTAATCTGGGACTCGGAGTCAATAGTAAAATTTCAAATTAAGTGTTTGGTGCTTTTGGACATTCCAGGGAAATAAAGTTTCCAGAAGATGGCCGTGGCAGAGTGAATAAATCATTGCTAACAGAGGATCTCTAATATAATCCATGTAAATCTTAAATCTGAGGAAGAGAAAAATGCTTTATAATAGAATCTGATTGCCTTTACTGTATAGTTGCTATTGCTGTAAACTTTCCACTAAACAACACTAAGGAGTGCATGTATTCTTGCTTGCTTGAATATATAAAAGTAATTATAAAATAATGAGTATATTTATATATTTACTTTTACTCTTGAATGAGCCTCAAAAGTTGACTGTACGTGACAGAGAAGGGGCAAACTTTATGCTCTGAAACCCAAAGTCATGATACTTGGCAATAACTTTTACTCTCAAACACTGTAAGACATAACATCTAAATCACATACAAAAACAATATAAGATTTTGGAAATAAGAAGTGTAGTAAAACCATACATACCTTTTTAAGGGGAACTGTACTTCTAAACCAGTTATAATCAGGAGAGACTTTAATTTCTCCCATGATTAGCTGAAATGAAGGTTAACCCTGAAATAAAAGCATATGATATTTCACGTCAAGAGTTCATGTTCACATCAAAACTAAATGTACAGTCTAGTCTAGCTATACCAACAATGCACACTTAAAAGGGTAAAACTGAGGAAATGAGCTATTTTTTAACTTGCTGTTATATACTGAAAACACAAAAAACAATTTGGTGAAATGCTAGAATCACAGAGCAGAAAGGGGCCTTGAGAGATAATTATTCACAACTCTAGTTCTCTCAAAAGAGGAATCTGGTCTAGAAAATGTAAACGACTTAACGGAGATGCCCTGGCTAATTCAGAGCCGGGACCAGATGCAGGACAGTCTTTTCTGACACCAGACTGCTGTCCTAGTTAAATGATTCCCAAGTGCAGTGCCATCCCCTATCTTTTGACAATATCTTATTAACCCATCTTAATAAAGATGTTCCTGTCTGATAGAATTATAGGGAACAGTCCACATTAAAGAAAGGATTTAATGTAAGCCTGCTTCCTGATCAATTCACCAAATGCCATAAATCTAACTGTAGTGGAACATAACTTCAGAACCTCACATGTAGTTCTTAATGCAAAATACAGGAAAATTGCTGTTCATATTAGTGTGATTAAAAATGATCTAATATGCTCCAAAGATCTATGATAATACATTAGGAGAGGCTGGAAGGCACTAGAACTAGCAACCAAACAAAATATGTGCCTTTACAAAAAAAAAATGCATGTCTTTTGTAGTGAGATTGTGATTTCTACTTTTATAGTTCTGTGCCCTCAGAACACTCACGGACCCTCTTTGGACTAGTTTTCTCACCCATGACTGTTTCACCATGGTATCTCCAACACCTAGGGCAGTGCTTGGCACACAGCAGGCATTATCTGTTGACTAAATGAATGACTATGTCCCAAGGAGACTGAACTAGGCAATCCTAGAGTCCCTTCTAACTTGGGCAACTATGGGTGTTGAACTGGTTGAGCATCTTCCGTTTAAAGGCCGGTCTCTTTGCTCAGGCATGCATGTTGTCATAACAGGAACCTGAAATCATAGTTCCCTGTTGTAGATTCTTATTGCCAAACAAGGAACTCCCACCCATTAGTTTCGAAGGATTCAGATACCTACAATGTACCCTGTCCTCTACCCCAGGGCAAGCCTGGATTTCCTAGGAGGGCTAGGATGAGTTTGGGATCTTAGGATTTAATTTCTGGGCTGACTCTGAGCTGTCATTTTGGAGGGGCTTCTCTGGACTGATCAGGAGCAGGGGATTCTAAAATCAAAGGAGCTCGCCCCATGGGCATGACTCAGTGGTTGAGTGTCGACCTATGAACCAGGAGGTCACAGTTCAATTCCTGGTCAGGGCACATGTCTGGGTCGTTGGCTCGATCCCCAGTGTGGGGCTTACAGAAGGCAACTGGTCAATGATTTTCTCTCGTGATTGATGCTTTTATCTCTCTCCCCCTCCCCCTTCCTCTCTGAAATCAATAAAAAATATATTAAAAATAAATAAATAAAACCAATGGAGCTCTGCCTCCTGGGACCTCCACATCTTCTCCCTCAGTCACACAAGGCCCTCAGCAGTCTCATCTGCTAATCTCTAACCTGGAGGGATTACTCAATTGAACCCCAAGGAAATGGTAGATGTAGACATCCAATATTAAATTTGATTCACAACCTTGACATTATAATAATGGTCTCTTCTCTCAATGCTAAGATGGTACTGTTAGAAAACATCAAAAACATGTTTAGCAAAAAAAATCATAAATTGCTCTAAAGTATCAAGAAAACCATTAGCCAGTCTCATCCTGAACATCACACTGCACACATATAGTTTTAATTCATATTGAAATAAAGAAAATCATTCTTTGCATATCCATTTTCTCTTAGATATTAACATGTTAAAAATCATAGCCATTTGAACTACAGCCTTTCTCTGAGCTGCTTACCACTTTTTAATGAAAGCAGCTAGCATATATAGTTAATTCTGGACTATTTTCAACCTAGACAGACTTGAAATATTCCTATATCATCTAAATAGTTCCTAACAGACTTTTTTTAAAAAAAAATTATTGCATTACTATAAACCATTACTATTTTACAGAAGAAAACATCAAAAACATGTTTAGCAAAAAAATAAATAAATAATCTACCCAATACATTTATAAAACACCTTAGTTAATTAAAAGCAGAAAGCTTCCTTCTAGATTTACCAAACTTGGCATAAAACAATTATTCACAGTTTGCAATCAACTGTAATGGACTAACCAAACTAGTATACACAGGCACATTACATTGACTGTCACCACTTCTTCCCGTAGCAATAAATAGAAAAATATTCCTTACCACAGTCCTCAGTATTATTCACAACCACCCCAGCATCATAGCATTTTATAACTAACCTTGCTGGCGAGAGTCCTGTGACTAAATTTTTGTAGAGGCAAGTGATTTTAACACTTGTGCTAGTTTGGCAGTACATGAAAGGTAAGACAGAGAGCAAATGCTGCATATGACCAACTGACATCGAAGTGGAAACAAGCCCATGCTGCAAAGGGAAAGCAGCTGTGAGCAGTATGAAAAGGAAGTTTGTTCTCCCAACTCTCTTTCATTCACTACAGGGGGATACTTTCCCAAGTCACAAGAAGAACCTTCTGTATATGGCAAAAAAGGTTAACGGAGATTGTGACCAAACTGGTTGGTATTAAAAAAAGAAAGAATGTGGGCCACGAGCTCAACACTGATCTGATCTCTCACAATTCAGTTCTTCACAAAAACAAACGCACCTGTCACGCTGGTAGGGAAAGGGCTGCAGGGATTAGCCTGATCTTGCCCAAGGAAGCCCCTCCTCCGGAGTGCTTTGGCCACCTGGTCCTCCCTAGAGCTGCTTGTCAATAAAACTGACAGTGTGAGCGTGCACCAAGAATTACCAGCATTTATGTCTCAGTTTCAGCAAAACCTGCCAGTTTACAGCCAATGAAATCATCTTTACCAATGTTTGTCACATAACTAGCTTAACTATCTCAATCTGTAGTTGATCTACATATACACAATCTATGATTATTATTAACACCACAATAACAAAATATTGAACCTGACAGTCTTCAGGAGCCACAATTAGCTTTTTAAAGCAAGTCTCCCATACCTTACCATATCAGAAAATAGCTATCTTTTTAAAAGATATCTTCAAGGGAAGATTTATCTCTCATTTAATTCTAAACCTCGTGGGAGAAAAAGTTGCCTACTTGACACTTCTTCTGTGACACCTCAGCTTGTTCTGCCTTGGTATAAGAGCTTTTGGAACACTGCACACAGCTATTAAGTTACTCCTTTGTGCGAACAGGAGCTGCAACATTGTAGGTGGAGAAGCGAGAACTCACAACTCCCCAGGAAAAAACGAGAGGAGGAAAAGTGAGAGACTCTAGACAAGCCTCACACCTGGCCCTACTCAGCAATGACCAAGTCATTTGTCACTTTCAGGCTGAGGCTCATTCTCCAAAATAACTGGTCTCCGCTCAGAGATCTTAAAAGTTTACTGGGAAACACGTTCCTGGGCTGCAGCAGCGCGGCCCCAGGAGGGGATTGCAGGAGTCTGCCCTGGTCAAGCGCCCCACCCTCACCGGCCTAGACGACCCTCATACGGACCCCCATCTTCTCCAGTCCCACCGCTGACAGCCACACAGAGGCAGGGTCACAGGCACCCCGACACCCCCGTGAACCAGACTCGAGCTCAGTCTCTCTGTCTCTGTCACACACACACACACACACACACACACACACACAAGTGATCACGTGCATGGTCACAAGGATCAAGGATCGGCCCACTCACAAAGTCACACCGCCTGGGACAGCAGCTCACACACACACACACACACACACACACACACACACACACTCACCTGCAACCCCGCACACATCACACACCACACCCCCGCCTCCCGCGCCTCGCTCATCCCTCACCTGCCGTGGCCGCCCCCACGTTCTCTTCCCTCCTCCCCAGGCGGCTCTGCCCTCCGGGACCGGAGCGGCCGGGGCGGTGGCGGGGCCCGCGGGGCCGGCGGCCGGAGCTCAGGACCCGCGGGCGCCGCAGGCGGTGGGGCGCGCAGGACCGCCGGCCTCCGAGGGGCGGGGCGCGCGACCGAGCGAACCTGGGCCGCCCGCTCCCTCCTCCCGAAACGTCCGCGCATCGGCGGCCTCTCCCCGCTTCCGGGTTTGGAGGGGGCGGGGCCACGTCGTGAGGAAGGGGCGGGGCTCCGGTGGTCACCATGGCAACGGGCCTGGGAGAGAGAGTCCCGGGCTCTGGCTTCTTCCCTGGGGTGGGCGCCAGCTTGCGAGCGCGGGGAGGAGGCCCCCGTTGCCTCAGGGTCGGCCCTGGGTCCCAGTCTCACGTGGGGGAGGTTATGGGAATGGCAGGAGGGGCCGCCGAGCCCCCCGGGACCTGCCTCTGCCTTCAGTTCGCTTGGAGGGAACCCCTTTGAGTTCAGGCTTGGGCCAGCAGGGCTTTGCACCCTTTTTTTTCTTTTAAAAAATATTTTATTGATTTTTTACAGAGAGGAAGGGAGAGAGATAGAGAGTTAGAAACATCGATGAGAGAGAAACATCGATCAGCTGCCTCCTGCACACTCCTCACTGGGGATGGGCACTGCAACCCAGGTACATGCCCTTGACCGGAATCGAACCCGGGACCTTTCAGTCCGTAGGCAGTCGCTCTATCCACTGAGCCAAACCGGTTTCGGCTGTACCATTTCCTTTCTTGGCAAGTTTTTATTTTCCTTTTGGCACAGCTACAAATGCCCTTCATTGCCCTCCACTGGAACCTACCCATCCCCCTTCCCAGGTTTGTGCTGACGTTCTGAGGGTTTCATCCTTCGTCACTTTTCCTTAAATAGAGAATATTAATATACGTATAATCATTTTTTTTTATTAAGGAAGATGTTGCAGACGCCATGAGTTTTTGAGTAAAATATTTGCTGAAAGAATAAGATTGAATAACGTTCCAG